CATCTGAACACAGGGACGACCCCAGTGTTGAGCATGCCTGCCACAAGGCCCACCTCTGCCGTATGGACCTGGAGCTAGCTTTGCAAGTATCTGGAGTGGATGTTGACCCATTGCAGGGGCCTGGAGACCCATGGGCAACTACTGTACACCATGGATCATCTTTTCGCCAAGTGCAAGTCTTGCTGGACTGCCAGGAAGCCACACCAGTGGCAGTACAGGAATCTGGCAGACTGGAAACAGTGGACAGAGTGGCACCTCAGCTGCCACGTTTGGAATGCCGCCCGGTTTTTCGATTCTAGTTTTTCTGGCGGTCCAGCACCGGCATCCACCACTGTCACAGCAGTAGACCCAGAGACGGCACAAATGCTGCGCCACAGATACTCTTAACCCAAGGGATTATGGATCTTCTTTACAGGACAGGACCTGGACTTCAGCAACAACCAGTGCAGCAGACACCAGCAATTGCACAGAACTCAGCAGGGTCGTCTGAGAAGTTGACGATGGACAAAAAGTGGATTCCAGAGCTCGGTTGTCTGATTTTCAAGGGTTGGTAGAGAAGTTTGCATCGTGGCTTTGTCTTGTCCACGACAGCTATGTGTCAGAGGTCAAGGAAGCTATGAACTTGCCATACCTTGTCGTGATTGTGAATCAAGACCAAGCAATTCGAAGCGTCGATTGTTTCATTTATTTCAGCAGAGTTTTTCTGGATACTCTGGGGTAGACAACGTGTGCATTCTATGAGGCAAATGGTTTTGAGTTGTTGAGACTTCTGCGCAGGGAGTTCAGTTTGATGAGCCGTCTCGAAGCTCTTCAATACAGAGAGGCCTGCCTGAAGTACTGTGTCAGAGCGGCTTCTTCTTATGGATGTTTTGCGAGAGATTGGACCTGAAATCCAGGATTTCATTCTATGCTGGAAGCTTCACTGATCGCTAGTCAACTGACAGACTTGCACATCAATGAGAGGGATCAATTCCTTCTCTACCTTCGAAACTTGCCAGACAAGGCAGCAGAGTTCGTGCAGCTTCACTGCGGTGCAACTACAGTGGTGGCATACCACACCAGAATGAGACTCACCAATGACCTTGACAGGTGCATGTGGCTACAGGGCCAAAGCAAGGCTCTGAATGCACCATTTGCCACAATTGCTGCAAGAAAGGGCACATAGCTTGTGAATGCCAAAAGCCTGTGAAATGCAGTCACTGCGTCAAGGCACGCAGCTAAGGACTGCTGGGCCAAGGATCCCAGCCCTGTCCTCCCAACATGGTGTGCCATGATCATGTTGACAAAAACCGCAACATGACGAAATCATCATCACTGCTGAAAAAGTTAGACGACTGCTTCCAAAATGAAACATCCTACAAACAAGGAAAACGACTGCAACATGTCAGCACTCTTCATCTGAAGCTCCCGACGTTTGGCCCCCTTGGTGACCTGCGCAACCTCCTGAGTGCAACATGATTCACAGGGTCCTTAGTTCCATTAGTTACCAGGTAGACGCTTTTACACAGACGCTTTTACACACAGACACTTTTACACATAGACGCTTTCCTGTCGCAACCTTTTCGCGCGAAATGAAGTTCGATCGCTGAAAAGTAAAATTGCGATTTCCAAGTCGTCCGGGCAACCTTTTCGCACGAAATGAGGTTCGATCGCCAAAAACTGCGGTAAAATTGCGATTTCTATGTTATCCGGCGATGTATGGAAAAGCTGTATGTTAACGCATCTGTGTGTAAGAGCGTCTGTGTAAAAGTGTCCGTGTGTAAAAGCCTCTGTGTGTAAAAGCTTCTGTGTGCAAAAGCGTCTGCGTGTAAAAGCGTCTGCGTGTAAACGCTTCTGTGTGTAAAAGCTCCTGCGTGGAAAAGGGTCTGTGTTAAATCGTAATTTTACCTCAGTTTTTGACGATCGAACCCCATTTCGTGCGAAAGGGTTCCGCCGGACCCCCTTGAAATCGCAATTTTACCTCAGTTTTTGGCGATCGAACATCATTTCGTGCAAAAGGGTTGCCCGGACGATTTGGAAATCGCAATTTTACCTCAGTTTTTAGCGATCGAACCTCATTTCGTGCGAAAGGGTTGCGTTTCGTGCCGTCTCGTTGGCACTGCCCCTGCCCCCGCCTTTAGAAGAGAAATAGAAAAGAAGGAGAATGCAAGAGGGCAAGAGGACAAAAGGAGAAGATGTGACGATGTGAGGGCAAGAGGGCAAGAGGGCAAGAAGGCAAGAGGAGAAGATGTGAAGATGTGAGGATGTGAAGATGTGAAGATGTGAGGATGAGAAGATGTGAGATGTGAAGATGTGAGGATGAGAAGATGTGAAGATGAGCAGATGTGAAGATGAGAAGATGTGAAAGCAGATGTGAAGATGAGAAGATGTGAAGATGAGAAGATGTGAATGTGTGAAGATGATGAGAAGATGTGAAGACGATGAGAAGATGTGAAGATGTGAGGATGTGAAGATGAGAAGATGTGAAGATGAGAAGATGTGAGGATGTGAATGTGTGAAGATGATGAGAAAATGTGAAGATGAGAAGATGTGAGGATGAGAAGATGTGAAGATGAAAAGATGTGAAGATGTGAAGGTGAGAAGATGTGAAGATGAGAAGATGAGATACAGACCCCCACTATTGGAAGAACCCTGCGCTCAGACGCTCTCGGGAACAAAAAATGTGTGAACTCAAGCATGGCGAATCGTTCCAATGCTCTGAATGTGGAGATCTCTTTTTGACAACCATGGTGAAATGGGGTGCCTTCCTCGAGCAAGTGAAAGAAAACCACCCCGCTGCAAAGAAACCGCAACGGTCAGAGTGCCTTGTTGACGTGTATGGAAATGTGATGCCATCAGGTCAAAAACACAATCAGTTTCGGCGTGGTGGTGGATTCAAACCAAAAAGGCACGTGGACCAGGCTGGCAATGTGAATCTTGATGCAAAGCTTGTAGGGCCTCAGTGATTCAGCGCTGATCGGAACACAAAAATGGTGAGTGTTTTGCGGACCACACGCTAGTTCATTCCCTTAACTGCAGGGGTGGGGTAGTGGCCCGCCTGTCCGCCTAGTGTTGCACCCAGGTATTGAACCCGGGTCTGACGCATGAGGGATGCGTCGTATCCACTGGACCATACCGGCCCTCGGAGCACAAAACGGTGTTTTTCACGTGTTTGGGAAAACTTGGAACGAACAAATCAGTCATGCAACATGCGAATTTTATTGTGAGGTGTCCTTATTCACAGGCCAGTGAACTATGAGGACGCCATGACCTTTTATGGATATATAATATATAGTTATTAACTGAGGTTTTTATTTTTCAGGGTAGATTAATTGTTGCTTTTGAGAAACATTTGTGCAATTACCATTGTGCAATGCCGCATCGAAAAAACCAGTATTCCTGGACCAAAGGGCGGGAAATTTGCTGGAAAAGAACCGGTTCGTTTTGTTTGGCTCACAATGATCGATCTTGAAAGTTTACCTTGTTTGAACATCATGTGGAATGAATAACCGTGTTTTCTTGTCATTTTCACCATTTCTTTTCGATTACCTTATTCGTAGTCATGTGGTGGTACTTAATTTGGGAGTATACTTTTGACATGGTAGATCTTGCAGCTGATGGCAAAACATGCGTCGGTTTGTATTGGGTCACTTGTCTGCAAATGGGGAATTCATGGTGGTGTGAACACCTAATTCGGATTCAGCACCGATAGCTTTATTTTTATGCCCTGCGGTCCTTACGGTATGAATTCCAAGGCTGTTGATCATTCCTGTAGTTCAAAGACGCAACGAATATGCTTGCTTATGTTTGATCCGTTTCATACAAAGTTTGATGGATGCAAACCATGCCGGATCCAAACTGTCTTCTGCATTGTTTCCAGGATAGGGTGTGAAACTTTTGGGGCCCACCCAATAATTTTGAGGTCTTGCACCAAACTCCTACAAATGACTAAATGTGTAATTCCCAGCACTATCCCATTATGTGGATTGTGACAGATGACAATTATGATGCATGACCATGGTTATGAACGGACTATCCCCATGACTGTTATTTGCAGTCCCGTTTTTGTTGGAAAACCCTTGTTATTGTAGGTTTCGATCCTGATTCACTATAACCTCCAGAAAGATAGGAACATAATTCACCACTATGTAAGTCGGGTTTTATTTTGTTATCTTTCTAGGGTTGCTATGAGCGGTTTTCAACCAAAAACCCAACGGGATTTTGTATCAGCAGCCTCAGGTTCAGCATCCGGCAGCTTGGCAGAGAATCTGCGACCCAGTTGGGAAATTCGTTGGTCCATAGGCTATGGGCGTTCAATAATTGGTGATCATTTCGTTTATATGGATATGGGTCAAAATTGGGATGGTTGGAAGTTAAAACAAAACATCGTCCAAAATTTGTGTTCCCCCGGGTCTTTAATTTTGGTCACATTTTGTCAATATTGGATGAACAAAACACCATTACCAAGCTGGTATGATAAATTTATCAAACGGATTCACATAGGTCAACAATTTCGAACCTCTCCAGGCAGCCTGGAGTGTAATTTGTACCATGGTTCTTGCGGAGAGTACCTCGAAATTCCATGGCAATATTATAGAGTGACATAATGGCGCGCTCTTCTTCTAATCAACTCTTGAAAATGGAACAAATGAAGAGCTGCCAGCTTGAGAAAACCAGTCAGAGGGCAGAGATTTGGTCTCCCAGTCTTGATGTTCAACGAAGGCTCTATAGCTGGGTATGGATCAAGAGTGGATACCCCAAAATGGGATGGTTTGTACTGAAAATGGACCAGTCAATCTGTGGTCCCCAGTTGCAAGTTGACTTGCAATCGCATCGAAATATGAACTATATACAGTATATATTATATATACAGTATACATATCCAATCGTTCGCCTAGTTATGAAACCAATTTGCCAACGGTTTTGGGGCCCTTTCTGCACTGCTGCAGGATTTGGTCTGGGCGCCGTGTCGTTTGCAGACAGTGGATGACGGGACAGCCTCGCTGGTCTTCGAGGGGGAGATGGTGCAGCGTTGCCCTGAAGGGGCAGTGCAAGACCTGAGCCAGGTGCAAGACGGACACCTGGATGGTGTTGACGACATTTGCTCGTTGTCCATTGTGACCGAAGCGGCCTTGCTGCATACCGTCCGAGTGAGGTCCTTCAGGTGCTCATGGGTCATGGATTTGTCTGAAAATGTTGAGAACTTCCCAAGATTTGGTTTAGAAAATCAGTTTACTTATGAGAAATTGTTATTTTGGGGTATACATTACTTTTCGACACACCTGACGCTTTCGCAGTTCATTTTTAAGAACACTGGACTACAGTATGGGTTATGTTGTTTTTGTGTTCATGGATTGAACAGGTTTAAGGCACCTTTTGGTCAAGCATAGAGCTCGTTCATGCGTTGCCAGGCAGCAGATCTACACGCGTGTTGCGCGCATTTTGATTTCCGTGAACCCATTCCATTCCTTGCCAATCTACTCCGCTAAGTGGCCTGGTATGCATGTGGGACAAATTTCCATTTTGCAATCATATATTTTCCCCATGAAGGTCGGCTTCATGTTGGTGCCAAGTCTGGAGCAGACGATCTACCTTTTTTCTTGTTTGAAAGGATCAGAGTCGGCAAGTGTTTGCTGAGAGTATCCTGAAGGTTGCCCTTTGAAACTCAATGGCTTTCGGTCCTGTACATATGGTTACAATCTTAGTTAAACTTGGATACCAAGTTGGATCATATCAGAACCAGCCAATTAGTTTCGGATGGTAGATGGACAATTGAATATTTGCAGTATCCCCAACAATGGGTGGTTGAAAGGAAGAATGACTCAGGACAAAATCTGTGATGGGCAATTGGGCATCCCTAAAATGGAAGGTTGGAAAGGAAGAATGGCTTAAAACAAAGATAAACAACATGTGTTTGTTGCCTCATGTCCTCCAGGTACCTCAAAGATTTCCAAGATGCGACACTCGGCGGGCAGACTCCAAGCAGGGTACAAAATTAGCTGGAGTAAATCCTATTATCCGATGTGGCAGGATGGACCTCACTTTATCACATGAAGAAATGCCTGATAAACCATCGTTTACCCATGTATCCATACATATATATAAATACACACAAAAACATATACGTATGTGGATAACAGCAAAGCGAGTAGACGGCATGAGCCTCTCAGGAAGGATTCTTTCGATCTCCAGCCGCACATCTATGGCACTGGTTCCTTGGCGTCGGGAGTTGGGTGATGTTTCTGCACATGGAGAGACAGGGTACCCATTTGGTAATCCAATCTGGCCAGGGAAAAAAACTCATTCCGAAAGATGATTTCTTAGCCATTAAGTCATTAAGCCATCAAAAAAGACAAGCAATTGACCTATGAATCCAGCATTTTATGGATGGGTCATCCAAATTGGATGGGATCAGGGACCATTTTCCTATCAATTTCCTATGGCAGAGCCGAGGTCACGATGCCTTGCGGGGCCTAGCTGAGGGGAACAAGGTGGCAAAATGGGGGCTTGCACCATGAAACTTGGGGGGATTAGACCTTTTGACATTGGGTAATTAATGCGATTATTCATGGGATATGAATGGGGATGGGATATATATATATATATTTGGGATGTATAAGCCAACAATCTATTCTTTGGGTCTGCCTGAAAAACAGGGTATACCCCCAACCGGCATATTTTCAGACGTAAAATGATTTTCTAAACCCTCGGACGGAATGGGGCACCCTATTTTCAGACAGCCATGTGGTAATGTGAGGGATTCACCTATTTTCCAATCCGGTGGTTATGAGGGAGCTAAGGAGCTATGGGAATTTGTATTTCCTAGCATGAGGAGCCAAGGAGATACCAAGAGTTTCCCAAGCACATGATAATTTCAGATGCAAAAATGAAAAGTTGAGATTTTGAACCAAATGAGAATAACCCGGTCTACACGTACAGAACCACAATATATGCGTGCGTGACCCGTATATTTTTTGGTGAGGACCAGGCCATTGTGATCAGCGGCGAATCTGGAGCGGGCAAGACCGAGTCAGCCAAATTCCTCCTGAGCTATGTCGCTGAGTGCGTGAAAGGTGTGGATGTGCTGCGTGCAGATGATTTTTGGATCCAAACGACAGGTCCTTAAGCATTTCTCCTGGACTTTGACACATCGCTTTGTGGTGCTTAAGTCGTGGTTTAACCTGGAATTTTAGAATATGTTTCTAGGAGATAAATCTGTGGAACCTGGCAGAACTCCAGTCTTGCTGCAAATTTTTGTTGATCCACCTTGTGAGATCCTATACACCTAAGTGGATCCCCGGCTGCCTTGTTCCCTGTGCCAGGCCGTGATTTGCACGGCAATGGGGCCCTGCACGGCTTGGAGGCACGCGTGCTGCAGACGAATCCCATCCTGGAATCCTTTGGCAATGCCATGACCACCAGGACATCCGCTGCTGATGGGGGTGTAGGCATCCCGCAAAGCGCTGCGCCCCAAAGAGGTGTGATGATGTTCATTAGACGATAGTTCTAATCACCATAACCCTACTTCATCTAGTATGGGGCAACCACCTTGTGGGCCCTTCGATGGTATGTTTGCTTCAGAGCTGCTGACCGCTAGATTTATGAGTCCAAATTGTTTTTTTTTTTTTTAAATGTTTTTGATTCTGTTTTTTGGGCGAACATTAACTTTCTCTGTTCCCGTTGGCCTCACAACCCTAGATGCCCAGACATCACGTGAAAAAGTAGCACCCGGATTTTTAATTCATCGTAAACAGCATTGTTGGCCGAACCTGCCACATTTGGTCTCAATTTGCTTGAGCTTGTGGGAAATCGTGAACAAACTGACGTGACTGGAGTATTTTTCTTCTAAAGTTGTGGCTATTTGAAAACCGTAGCCCTATTTTGTGAGCTATTGAACCATTCATATGCTGACCGTCGACCATCCAAGTCATGCATGGCAAGGAATGCCAACTCCAGTCGCTTTGGCAAATGGTTGGACCTGCGATTTTCTCAGGTCGCTGAACGCCGCAGTTGCTGTGTTTTTGGTCTCCTTTATGGTTGGCGTGTTTTTTTGTTCATTTCTTGCATCCCCTCGAAGCTCTTGAAGCGCCTGTCAGGCTTTGGGGATGAAAGGATGTCAGATCACCAGCTATCTACTGGAAGTGACCCGAGTTTGCTGCATCCTCAGGACCAGTTGCAAGTGGCCGGTAGCATGGGGTCCTTCTGTTTCATCCAGTTTTTTTGGGGTTCAAAGGACAACAAAAGAGTATCCTTTGGCTTTTGGAGGCTACCAGAATTTTGGGTTAGTGGTTACCCTCAAAGCCTCTTTGAGGTGATGTTTATAAAGGCAAGATCTTGTAACATTTGTGTCACCTTTGCCACATTTGAGGTGGCCAAAGTGAAGGTGAACGAGGCTTCCACATCTTCTTCCAGTTGCTCCAGGCCAGAGACGCTGAAAATTCTGGATCCGAAGACTGAGAGTGTGACCTTCAACGACAGTGGAAGTGGCAATGATGTTGGGACGTGCAAGGTCTATGTTAGTGGATCAGTTGAAGGTTAGAGGTACTAACTTGCCAATATTTTTGGAGATGTGACGACCGCACCCCTTGGAGAATTCAAAACGACGGAGATTCTCAGCTTGCACATGACCATCCTTTTTTCACGGCATCGTCATAGGGCACGTTTTGACATGCCAGCATCATATTCACGTCCCGCACCGCATCGTTGGGCAGCCGCTCGTAACTGCCAATGATGTCGGCCATTGAGACCAAAAACATCCGAAAGTACTGACTGTCGGAAAAAAAAACGCGAAGAATTTGATAGCCATGTATAGCGGACCAACGCAATTCAAAAAATAACGAAAAACATGAAAAAACGGCGAAATTGCTGTTATTTACAGTGTTTTTGCGCGGTGAGAAGCAGAAACCACTGCAAATACCATGGTTTTTGAGGGTCAGGTGGCCAAAAACACTGTAATTTACAGTGTTTTTAACCAACGTCAAAAAACACTGGTATTTACGATGTTTTCATTCACACCGTAACATAAAACAGCGTAATTTACGAGGTTTTTGGAAGTTTTGAAGCTAGCCGTCAAGCATGCAGAAAACAGAAAAAACACTGTAAAAACCAGTGTTTCTGCTATCACAAAACGACGAAAATCAGTCCGAAAACGGGTCCAAAAACTCAAAAATCCGCCTCCGGGCCAGGCCACCTGCGGAACCGCAAAAAAAGATGTTGCAAACCAAAAAATTGAGGTCAAAAAGTTGAAAAACACGGGTTTTTTTTCACTTTTCGCTTGCCGATTTTGGACGGGCGCGTCACAACAGGTGTCTTCCGTTATGGTTTTTACAGTGTTTTTTTGAAGGCGAGCGTTCACGGACCTATCAAAAACAGGAGGTTTTAGGTTTTGGCCGAAAAATGCCCCCCCCCCCCCCCCAGGTAAACCTGTAACCTTTTACGAGTGCCATCCGGAAGATCACGCCCCAGCACCTTCGGTGCGGGCGGATTTCTTCCCTTCTCTTGAAATCTCTCGGGTTCTACTCCGCATCTTTAGCTGCACCAATGAGGCATCAAATGAAGGTGCTCTGAAGTTCTTGGGCTTGAAAGATCCCTCCAGCTACAGCCCCTTGGTCACAGGGATGGACCAGTTTGTTGCAAAAACAAGCCATGGGTGGAAGAGTGTCAGATCTGGCTGTTCGACACTTGTACGATGTTGTGCCCCATTTCTGGCAGATGGCATCATTTTTTAACAGAAACTATTTTCAACAGGGGGCCTGGTCACTGCATTGGCGCCATCTCCCATGGGCCATGAGTCTTGGACGCCGAGGATATCTGAAAAACAGTGTGTTGTCAGCCCCTGGCATCGACGATCGGCAGAACTTTGCCGATCTCAGCACCTCGGTGAGGCGTGTCATTCTTGGAGTTTCCAGCTCATCACTTTGACCTTTTTTTTTGTGGGCTTGTCTTTGTGCCTAGTTTTTGTCGTGCAGCAACTCCGGCGGTTTTCACTTTGGAAATCTATGGAACATTGCGTTCTTTCAAGTAAGGACATGCCTTCAATCTGCTTGGGTTTCCTGAAGAGGAGCAGATGCAGGCCGCAGGGGGGTTGTACATGAGGCCATAGACTCTAGATCAACCAGCAGGACCTGGACCGCACAAGTTTTTGGGTTGACCGAATTTGGCCACCCATATTTCGAGTGCATTGCACTCTCCAGTTTCCAGTTTGTTGACAATATTGGCTGCGCACACGCAGTTTGGCACTTTGCTCATGATGTGGCACCTGCCCTAGGCCTTCCAGATTCTTGCAGGGATCTTGAATCTGGGAAACTTGGAGTTCTTCAGCACAGAAGACGAGGAGGTGGGCTGGCAGATACTCTTTCTGTTCCGAGAAGAGTTGCTTGAGGTCATTAGAAGCAGGACCTATCGTGGGGTTGCAAGTTTCAACGACTTTTCCCTAATGAACTTAGTACATCTTAGTACAAACAACCATCCTCCATCCCCCAGCCCCTTCCCCATCCCTCCATCCCCATCCCCCAAGATGCATCCCCCATCCCCTCCCCAGCTTCCGTCACCGAGGAGCTCCGCCTGGAAGGTGACGAGCCGCTGCTGGCTGCTGCCAGGCAGCTGCGTCTGCCGCTGGAGCAGCTCCGGCAGGGCCTGCTGCGACGGAAGGTGGTCACCGGACGAGCGCCTCGGCTGAGTTCCCCGGAGAGTTCCAGGGTTTGCTTGGGCCAAAACCATTAAAATTCCACCTTGAAGTGGTGAAAGATAGTGGTCAAACTGGATGATCAAGGGAATTTTGATGAGGAACTTCGGTGACTTCAACCCTGAGAACTGGTATTTGATGGGTTGTGACCCAGTTACAAATGGTTTGCGAACTTCCAGGATCATCCAAGTGCTATCATTGATCATCTAATTCCTTCCTTTCCCCTTATGAAATCAATGCAGGGAAGTTTGAAACTTTGGTCCAATATGTTCATCCTCAAAGATTGTATTGGTTTTTGTGGCGCTCGCTGGTGACAACACCTTCATCAAGCTCATCATCAGGCAGTGCGCCATGCAGATTTTGTGTGAAGTTCAGGGCACACTCTTGTCAGATTTGATTCGGGAGAACGTCGTCTAAGTGTGACTCAGGAGTAGAGTTGATGCAGCATGTCAACCTTGCTCATATCCTCATGCAAGCAGCTAGGTTTAGTGAAGTCCAGGCTAAATGTGCCAAATGTATCCAAATGTACAGTTTCAACGTCAAAATCACGAGATTGAAAATAACGAATAGATGGTAAGACAGCTGCCAAGACAAGCAAGCTCCTTTGGTCCAAGCAAAGAGCATTCTCGTCCCCTCATTGTGGCTCTTCATGGCTATGCGAACGCACCAACGCAAGCGTGTGACCATCATCATCATTATGCTTAGTATGTTGGGCTGCATAACTTCGCACAGCTTCACACCAGTCTCTGGAGTGAAGAACTCTGACGATGGTGACAGAGAGTCAGAAAAAACTCCAGCGCTGCCGTGAAGAAATCAGAGTTCTGAAGCGTGCTTTGAAAAAGTCGCGTAAACAAAGCCGCGACTTGGAGTGCCAAAACCATGCTTTGACAAGCACTGTTGAAGCTTTGATGGACAAAGCTCGAAGTGACAGTGATGCAGACCCAAGAGCAACTTTTTCAGAGGTCTTTGATGAGCTTGTGATGACTCCTGGTACAAAAGATGTCTCGTCCACAGGAGAGTGGAGTGAGATGCCATCATACGAATATGGGTCCATGAAGAACGCTGTCCAATACGCGAAGAAGGCTTATTGCCACCGCACGAAGGAGCACCCAAATGATCCAATCACTGGTAAATGGAATGTCAAAAGTCATGGATTTCGCACAGATTCTAATGGACAGACAAAGACATCAGGCTTCAACGCTTCCGGGAAAGTCTGAAAGACACAGGAAAGGTGGAAACAGACTCCATCACTGTTCCTTTGGCAGCCAACTAGTAGTTGATTTGCTGAATTTCATGGCGGAAGAAAAATACGTGTGTGTGTGTGACGGACAGAAGGATGGTTACAATTCTTTCTTGCCTGCAAAGTTTTGCTGCAAGGCCCTGTTCATTGCATGGTGTATTTTTTTTTGTCATGCGAGTTGGAGCATTGAGTGTCAAGCAGAAGCAATACCTTGGCCTACACACCATGAGTTCAGCAAATGTCCTTTGTGCAGGTACGATCTCCAAGATCACGTTCGGGACCTTTGCCGTTTTGGACATTCATGCAAACGAGCCTGTGCCCAGCAGCCTTCAGACAAGGCTTCTGGGGACACAGACTTCATAGCCTGCACTTTCGGCGTTCAAATCAGAGGTATCATCCCGGAAGCCAGTTCATCCACACACAGGCATGCAATATATCTATGACTACAAACATATGTGTAGATAATCTGTAGATATGTCATTACCATCACAATGTGGAAATCTACAACCTGCTCCTTCTTTCAAGAGGTCAGCACAAAGCGTTGGAGACGGTTTGACATTTTCAGTAACATGTCTTAAGGAACAATAAAAAAACACTCAAGGGCACGCTTCCAAGTTGATGCGAGCCAAGGATGCCATCGAGACATATCTGCGCTTGGATCAAGCCAGGGCGGCACGAGATGGCTTGTCGAGGATGCTCTATGGGAGATGCTTTGCTGAAAACATCAGGTGCGGGTGAAATTTGGGTGGTGCCCCGAAGAATTGGATGGTCGATGAAAGATGACCAGGTTTTTGTGGAACAGTGGAACCCGGGATCTGACATCCTAACCCCAGAATCCACCAGAGGGTTGGGGATGTAAGTGCCGAGGAGTTTGTCCGTTTGTTTGTAGCTGATTTAAGGCCATGGCCTAAAGGATGTGGGGAAAAAAACACATCTGAATTTGAGGAGATACTTAGTAAAATGACCTACATATCCAAGTGAGCTTCAGGATACTATCATTCCCAAAGCCGTTTGTTGCTGGTAACTTGTGAAGATTGTTACAGGATGTAGTTTATTTCACCCTCAGACCCAGGTTTGAAAAGGTCAAAACCAAACGGAAATGCGGAAATGCCATAAGTTGAAGATCAGGTGACCAAAATTGGTGTGGTTCCAAGGACTCTTTGACTGGCTGATCCAACGCATGAATGATGGACTCGAGATCAGCAATGGTCACCACCCAGATGGAAAAGAAGGTGCCTGTTGGGGTCGGCTGCCAAACTAATCGCGACTGTGAAGGTTTGGTCCCAGGCTGAGGCAAGTACAAGGCAGGGGAATCTGATTCAACGTTGGATCCTTTGTCAGGCAGGATTTGGTTTGAGGTGAGGAAAGCATGGAATTCTCAAAGACAGTCTCCGGTGTAATATTTTAGCTACCCACAGATGTTTCATCAGTGGCAACCATGATTCAATTTTCTGGCACATACCCGTCATACCCGTCATACTCATGTCCAAAGTTTTCCCAATGATCAACACCTTTGCTCAAGGTCGACCCAATGGAACTGCACCGCGACTTCTAGGCACCATGGGAGCCAAGGGACTAAGGATGCTCAAACGATCTAGTGTCATCCCATCCGCCCAATATTTACTACCCCGAAGAAGGGATCCTGAAACGAATACATCCAATACTAAACCAAGATTTATGAGTGGGCATTTCATAGATGTCTGATTCCTTTGTTTGTATTCAATTCAGACTTGTTTGTGTATACCAGTGATGCAGCTCGATGATATAATGCGGCAGGCATCCTAGACATCAGTGGTTTTGAGAGCTTCGCTACGAATTCACTGGAGCAACTCTTGATCAACTTGAGCAATGAAGAGCTGCAACTGCAGTTCAATGAAGCCACTCAGCCGCCCATGCCGTTGGTGCTGAAAAGTTGTGGCGAATCTGATGGTGTTGCGGAAGAGGCAGCAGTTTTGCCCTACAACATGAGTCATTGATAGAACTTGGGGTGCCCAGGGGTTACGTTACCTAGGCATTACTCAGCGGTTACCCAGCTGCCCATTTGGATCTGAGGCAGTCTTCAAGTCTGAGATTGAAGACTGCCTCAAGGAGGGCATCGACCTGGGCGCCACCATCCAGTGCCATGGCCACGGCTATAGAACCAATGGGGGGGGAAGGTCAGGAAGTTTTGATGCGGGATTGGAATGGATTGGAGACCTTGAAAAGGAGAATGATCAGGGTTTCCAGCCACAGAGGTATGAGGACAACTCAGATGTGGTGGCCCTCATTGATGGCCGTGGTGGCATGCTGGACATGCTGGACGAGGACATTACTCAAAAACGATGGTTCATAAAGAAGGGTAGTCTTTGGTAAGTTTCTACTTCCAGCTGTTGGATTATGTACAATTGGGAATTCTCAAGCACGCCATATCTGTGTACTCAGCCATAGCCATACAGAAAAGCTGCCAGGCAAAGAACCGCAGCTATGGATGTACTCACTGTTGATGTACCTGGTATCTTTACCGAACATGGAAAAGGCTCTGTGCCAGTGGGTTTCAAGGAGTTGGCAATGCCCAAAGCCACGGATGCCACCTTTGTGAACAAGGCCTGTGAGTTTTGGTGGGTTTGGATCAACGATGCGGGTTGCACTGGAAAATCGGATGCATATAAACTCAACAAATCACCTGCGTCACAACATTTTCCAACGCCAATTTCTTCACCCAACAGATGATGTTCACTGGAAAACCGTGGGTCTTCAGACTTGTCTCCAGATGCTGCCGAGGTTTTGAAAGCCCATAGCCCCTCAGAGCGCTTGATCGTGCCCAAATTCCAGGGAACTGTGGCTGGGCCGGGACTTTCTGCTTGTTGCTTCTGCTTGGTGGCTTTGAGAGATCGCAAGAACGAGTTGGCAGCAACAGCCACAACAGCAACAAGAGCAACAGAGATGCTACCAAAGTGGATTTTGATCGTTTGCTCTCTTCTGACTTCCTTACTTCATGACGACTGGGTGATTGGATTCTTTCCAACTCCGCTGTAACCGGCACACGCTTGATCCCGGTTAGTGTCCGGTAGATGGGTGGTCCCGGTGATCTTCCGAGAATTCCCTTCGCCTTTCAGGTAGGCTTTGGCATTCAACATTATGCGGCGACAGTGCGTCTTGACGCGCAGCTGGTGCTTTTGAAGTGATTGGAACAGTGACATGTAGCCACCAAGGGGTTGGAAGCTGCCATGACATTCATCACTAGAGTTCAGCCAACTTGGAGGCAGAAGACACAAGAAACCCTTGCATTGTTCCCACAAAGTCCTAAACTCCTAACTGACTTTTGGCAAAGATCATAGATATTATAGTACCCCATTAAAAGTTTGGAAAGTAATGGATCACTATTTCAGTGGATTTTATTGATATATAGATCATTTTAGATATATCGTTTATTGGGCTTGCTATAGAGAAACGATCTGATCATTCCGGATGCATCGCCTGAAACTCAGGACATACTCATGCGATGGATTCTTGGAGAAGAATGCCGATCGACTTCCCTTGGAGACCGTTGCAGGTGGAGGGCTGATCCGTTGGTTGTGGAAAAAAGTGGCGGAGTACAAACCAGTAAAAACACCTCCAAAACCAGCAGAAAAGTCATGTACTACTACAGTATTTGAGTAGGATTTTTTAGTCTTTTGCATCCTTTTGCGGTTGCTTTAACAGAAATGCAATGGATCTTTATCAGGGATGATCCGAGCGCTTTTATAAATCCGGCACATCGAAATCGGTTCCAAAGCCGATCTTGGACCATCACTTGTTGCCCAGACACAGACCCCCATGGGATAGGTTAAAACTAAGGATGAAGGTCCATCTACCAGCTATCTTGTTGACTAGGATACCAGGGCGGGCTTTGGACCCCGCATGGGATGATTTGAGACCCAGCTGTCTGCCAACAGATTTGCTGCAAGCCTCCGAACTTCCTCTGCTTCAAGAGATTGGCCAAAGCCTTGAGCAGGCCATGGCGCCAATAATTCGAAGGTCACGGGCTTTTTTGTTGGCTGATGTTGGCTGATGAGGCGCGAAGTGAGATATAATCACCACACAAGAATGATGAGAATGTTTGTGCCCATGGTTGCAGCTGATACATCCGAAGGTCGAGTATATCTTTAATTCTCCTGTCTCACAATTCTCTAGACTTCCACTCACAGTTTGCGGCTTGGATCCCTGTTTGTTTCTTCCCCTGCTGTGTCATGAGTTCGGCAGATCCCCCAACTGCCACCAGGCACAGCGCACCAGCAGTCCACAACGAGGACGGCAGAGTCGCAGCGCCACGTGTCGCTTTCGCAACTCTTTGAGGTGCCATGGCGGGGGAGAGCGTCTGCTGCTGGGCGAAAAGGTGAGAAAACGAAGCACCAAAGTCGGATCTTTCGCAGAAATCTACGGAGAGAAGATGAATGTGGCATGAAGAGTACTTGAAACATCTTGTGAAACATCTCAAAAACGTCAAAATGCTATTTTGAAGCGGCAAATAGACAGACTCTTCACCAAGGGGCGTCCCGTGAGTCGGCCTGGTGTCAGGCAGCTCATGGCGAAGATCCAAGCATCGGAGACGCACTACGTGCGTTGCATCAAACCCAATGCGCAAAATCGGCCCAAGGCGGGCTGGGGCCCTGGGGCCCTGGGGCACTGTGGAGATAGGGGTTACCGTCCGGTAATCAAACGTGGCCAGCTAGGAAATCCGCCATTTATAGTTGATTTTCCTCTTAAACCTTCATTTATGTAAGATTTTCCATTGCCAGGTTTGATTACCAGAGGGTACCCAAAGCTAGGTCTATGTCAGAACCTGCAAATCAGGACTGTGAGCATTAGACACTGCAGATGCGGTAAAAAGAGCCAATGCTGGAAGGAGTTCACATCTGTGATGGTTCACGAGCAGCTTCGCTACAGCAACTGGGCACAAACTTGCAGATTGCCTGTTGGCCTTTTGACTGGCTTGATGAGTAAGGCTGTCCTACCCTCGGAGGGTTCGTCCAATGCCACAGTGAAAGTGTTGAAATGTCTCTGGATCCCAGAAAGTGGGTAATTATCTTGACTCGTTGCTCTTTTCTGGATGGTTCTGAGAAGACTAGTGCCACGAGTCGCGCAGTGTGCAGAAAAAATAGCACCATAAACTGTTGTACCAGATGCCTTCACCTGAGACCATATCACCGACCAGGTGAGCAAAGCCCAGGCCCTGTTGATGGTTAAGCCTGGACTTACACAACAAGCGGCTGAATGGGGATGAACATGGACATAATTACTATATAACCACTAAAACCCACTATATGTCCATCCCAGCCTTCGGCATAAGGTGGGGTCTTGGAGGCTGTTCGCATTCGAAAGCAGGGCTTCAGTTGCCGCATGCTCTTCGAGGACTGAAAATATTGGCTGAGACTTTTGGAAGTGGACTCCAGGGCCGCAGTGGCAGGAGTTCCTACTGCGCTACCGATGCCTCACCCTGTTGGCTCCTGGATCTTCCGACCGAGGCTTGGGCTATGAGAAGGTAAGCCTTATACTTTGAGTCATGAGTCATGTATTACAGATGATCATTGGATTGATTTAAGGGAAAATCTACAGGAAACGATGGTTTTTACCATCAAATATAGGGCTTTCCTGTAAATTTTCCCATCATCCAATTCTATGAGATGAAGTCTCATGGCACTGGGTCTGTTTTTGTTTTTTTTCCCTGGCGATCGGGGCTCGGGGGTCCTGGCTGAAGCTGTGAATTCCCAGGCGCCACCGTCCAGAAGCTGCTGGAGTGGGCAGCAGAAAAGCTGGCAGTGCCCGGACTGCGACTTGGATCAAGGAGATCTCTGACTGGGATGGCTGCGAACTGAAAAAACAACGGTTGATTTAAGCCATGAAAAAGCCACCCAAGGGGTAATTAGGGCACCCCAAATTTGAGGTATATGACATAGGTTCAACATTTTTCTGACTGGCAATGGGACCCGCAACTCATTCGTGGTTTGGAGGGTTACAATGAAAAGAGAACTTTCAGCATGTTGGGGTTTGGAGTACTTGATAATCGGATGCTTGATTCAGCTCTCAATCTTTTCTGGCAGTCTAGACTGTCAGTCAGACGGCGATTGAGTTTATGCCGTGGGTCCAGTCACGAATTTTCCTGGTGCTGCCTTTCTAGCTGTTTTGGCATGACTCCTGAGGCCCCAATATGGGATACTTGGCGTCTGCAGGGGGGTGAGCAGAAAAGCATGCAAGATCCCCCCTAGTCCTGGACATGGCAATAGGGAAGCCACAATTAAGAATAATCCATTTGTATGCAGAGTTCCTCACAAATCGGATGTATGATGTTCCATTGCCATGCTTGATTGCCCCTCTGGGTGCTGAAAGCTACCTTCTTGAGATGCTGTTGGCTAAAGAAACCCCTGCTGAAAAATGGTCGATTTCCGATTTGCATGCGTCTTGTTCATCAGCCGTGGCAGCGGCTTCCAAGGAACACCAAGGCCCAGCCGGTGTCAGCAGTTTCATGGTTTTCCATGGGATGGAGGGATGCCATGGGGGCCTCATTACATCCTCAAGTCTCGGTGGTTCCCTCCCATCTGGCTCAGTTTCTTCAAAGTTTCCAAACTGTATCTGGCTTGGTCTGAAAATAGGGCACCTCCACAAAGGTACTTAAAGGTACCCGCCCAAAATCCCATGTTTCATCATCTTCCGAAGGAAAAAATGGCAATCTCAAGGTCCCCAATTGCTGACCCAACTCGCATGCGGAGGTGTTCCTCCGCGAAGTGACCCATGATGCCTTGGAGATGCACCGAACGGCTGCAGCCAAGGTGTGGTTGGTTGCCATAAACCGACCATGGCTGGGGATGGTTCATACAACCCATAAAAATGGTGGTTTTGGAGATGGCTTATGTCGCTTAAAAACATGGGTTTACCGCATTAGTATGCATTAGTCGTATTTGATCAGTTTTCGGTGTTTTCTTGGTTTCTATTTATTTTCCATTCCATTTGGGGCACTTCGCGATGAAGACGTAAGTGAAGGGGAGACGCTGGATGTCAGGGTCCAGTGGACACTTCCATCCTCAGTGTCATGATGTGCACCCACAGGGGTGCAAATGCCTCCAAATTTGGATGGTTCGAACGTGGAACAGAACATCTTCTCCAACATCTTTTTGGTTTACAGTTGAGGGTCGGGTTTGTTTCCACAATGAAGACACTGTTTTTTACTCACAACTTTTAAGTCAGAGCCATCTGGGACAGTTCTGCAGGTGGCCATTTTGCAGATGCAGCGCCTCATACGCGGAGCCAGGCATACCCGGATGGCGAGTTGGCGGTGTCGAAGTGTCAAAGTGTTGATGGTTTAGTCTCGGGTAATTGAACACTTTGCTCTGATGGCCCGTTAGTTCGATAATTTGCCTACTAATCATGGTGTTTTTTCATAGCTATTATATAGAATTACCAGAATTACCAGAGGGTAATCAGCAAAGAATGGGTTATTTTTGCTACCAGGAATCACGAGCTCTGAAAATAGAGGATTCAGCCCAAGATTGGATGGTTGTCGTTCCTTTGCTACTTTTTCTTTGAGTTACCAGAAAAAGTTGGGCGCAGGCGAAACGGATTTACTGTTGGCAAGCCAGTGACCATGGCCATTGTGTTTTTTTCTGCTTGCATGATGCTGGCGTCATCACTGCTGTTTTGAGTATCAAGGAAAGACAATGAGCCCATGAAGGTAACAGAGCAACAACACCTTGCCACCAGCACTGACTTCAAAAGGAACATGTGAAACAGCATCTGCCAGCAGTTCAAAGTATTAGCTTCTAAACCAATTTCAAACATTCCAAATGAAGTGGATCATGAATAGTAACAACTTCCAAATATTCCAAATGATAGTAAAGGTGAGAAACCGCTTTCAAGATCATGACACATCCAGCACTTTGGATTCACCAGTCATTGCGTGGCCGAGCAAAAAGAACGCGCGTCTCGTGGGTCGCGCCGCTGCATGGAGCAGCCGCCGACGCTGGCATGGACGATCTGACGGTGCAGCTGGCATCATGGCTGGCCAGTCAAGCTGAAAATACAGGGCCCAAGCTGGTAACCACTTGTGTGAAAATATGGTATCCCGAAATCCATTGGATTATCATCATTATCCCTATTTTATGGCTATAATTGGGGGTATACCCTATTTCCAGACTAACCCACTTGGGTGGCTGGACTTTCAGGTGTTTTTTTTAACATCATGAGCCATGTGCCGTTTTCTCACGACGATTCATCAACAAAAACACTTGGGGCTCAGGGATTGTCGGGCTGGCCATGTGCCTGGACAGATCAAGAAGATTGTCTATGAACTCTTATTTTTGATTGGGGTGGTTGAATATGGTTGAATTCTATCGGATAGATATAGTCCATTAAACCATTAGTCTATGTCCTTTTAGAGCGCAAGATGATTGCGACATCGCACGTCCCACTTCCCTTCGTTCCCTTCCCTGGGTCCCTTCGATCGCTTCGCTCCGAAGAACTCAGGAACATTTTCGGCAACAGTATCCCGTGGATGAGGCCGCATGGTCCTACCTCATCAAAAGCAGCATTGAGGTTCAACGGGAGGCACCGGCGATGTTGCTGGTGAGGCTGTTGTATGGCTCCTAAATGGACAGTTGATCCTGGACTAGACCTATTTGGTGGGCCATGGTGGGCCCTTGGGTAGCACATGTTGAAAAACCATGAGCTGTTCGTTGCAGGTCTTGAAAGACTTTAAGCCGAAAGAAGAGGGCCAAGCCGACTATTCGGCCCTCGTGATCTCCTTCTGCAAAAGGTGGGTTCAATCGGGCCAACTTGCTGCATGGTGCAAGGTTGAATTCTGGTTTGTTCAAACCTGGGGCATTCCAAAATCCAACACTTCATGATCATTTTCCACATGAACATAGCCATTTTGCGGTGCTCATTCTGAGACACCTCCAGTTGAGAAGCTCTTGTGGAGGCGGCGGCAATCGCAACAGCAGCAGCAGCAGGTGCCAGTGCCAGCGCACGACATGGCTGCTGTTGCGGAGGAGCCAAAAACGGTAGCAATCCCACTGACTAATCAGCATTCACCAATAATGTCAACCCTGGATTAATAAACCCCTACTATGACTATTGGAGGAGTACCCCCCCTAATTAATAAACCAGGGTTTATTAATCCGGGGTTGACATTACAATCAATCGGTCAACAGCTGCTTCTGATCATGGCTGATCAATCCAAATTGGGATATCTGGGTTGGCACCAACTCCGACGGACTCCGATCCTTAAATTTGTCATGGCAACACCTGCAGGAGCGACAAGCGTTAGAAGGTACCTGGGCGAAGAATGTGCCATGAGTGTTCTGCAAAACGTTGGAGATGAGTTATTGGAGATTGGTCAATACATATACTGTATGGGACCATCTATTGGGGGTTCAACGTCCATCCAATTTATCAGCTATTTTGGGCGCGAAAACAAGGATTCCAGAATTTTGCAATCTATACCCACGTGATTCCGAGGACAATGAGTCAATACCTGACAAATATGGGGATAGAAACACCGCGCATCTTGATTCAAACTGCCCTTTGTGAGGGTCATTGGGTATGAACTCACAATAGGGGGACAGACATCTATTGAATTTGTCAGTCGAGATTACGATTTTTACGTTATTTTTTGAATCCCAACAGAAGGGACTATGCCCTTAAGCCAATCCAGTCATTGGCGACCGTTTTTCTTCCTCGACCATGGAGCCCTTTGTCGGTTAAAGTTAATGTCAACCCAGCCTTTGCGCGGAAGGGGTTTCGGGGTTGTCCTTTGTTGTGATGGTTCGATGGACGAGGTTGACAATATCCCCATGTTGATCAGGGTGAAACCTGGTTCAACAGCCCAGTTCGTGCGGGTCACTATGTGCATAAATCTAATAATTCATGGCAACCTGACTCCGCCCTCACCTAAACCATGGTTAGACAATGGGCCTTGAATCTGGCTGGAGATATGTGATGAACTAATCCCCATGAGCAACCCATTTTCCACCCAGTTCTAGTCCGTGCCTCCCAGGTGACGTCCAGGCGGGCAAACTTTTTTTTTTGGGCGCTTTGTTTGACAAAGAGTTGGATTTATCTCATTTAGGTCATCGTTATTTTTTTCAAAAGATCTTCATGATCCGTGATGATGTTTGTTTTGTTCATGGGACAATCCGTTGACATCTCCCGTTGATTACGATCCGTTGATTGGGATATCAGTGGCTGATCAGTTGAGCGACTTCGCCAGGCCTTCAGGGAGCGCTACCCTTGCGATGATGCAGTCGCTTGGCCGCCAGGGGTAGCTGGAAATCGCCAAGAAATGGAGGGTTTTACTGTGGAACATCATAGAACATCATCTATAAATGGTGGATAAATCAAGGACAAATCAGATTGATACCCTCTGATAATTTGTTACATAGCTATTGAAAATTGACATAGAAATATTTGATTTACCTATTCAATTTGGTGGTTTTCCATAGCTATGTTAGTTTACCAGAGGGTAGGGGAATATAACTAGCTGGGTAAACGACAACGACCTCACTGCGACCTCATTTCAGGTTAGCGAACGATGGTTAGTAGGGGTACAGTAAGTATTTTCACATGACTTTATTTCAGGTTTAGTGAATTACTCTCATTTACCCCGAACTATAGTGACTGATGTTTAGAAAGCAACTGATAACTGGGGGGACCCACCTTTTTTTCCACCTTTTAAGGCGTGGTCCGGTCCCAGGATTGGATGATGGGTTTCCCCGAAACGGTACAGATAGTCTTTAAATCCTGCGACCAAGGCCTACAACTACATCATGGCGTCTCATCCCAGTGTGTGCCACGGCCGCATTGCGCCCGATTGCTGGCCCTTTTTGGCTCAACACGATCCATGCGATCCATGATGTTCCGAGAGGAACAAGTGGAGGGGAAAACGATGATGTTCCGTCTGGCCATTTTGATGGAAACCACAGGGTGGTGAATCTCCTATTCAGCCATGTCATCCTGAAAATTCCGCCAGCCCGTTGTTTGATATTGCAGATATGATCATGGGGTCTGAGGATTCGTGACGTGCTGGCGAATTTCAAGGCCAAAAAAGAAGGCAGGGATTGCAGGGATGGTGTGTTGATACAGGAGGGTTTGGGTTGACCTTGGGACTTTTGAAATGTCAAACTCTCAGAGCCCCTATGGCCTATGGCATAGCGGCATACCTTGGTTTGTTCGAAGCTGGCGGATTCTCGTGAGGCGAGAGTGATTACTCTCCCTTGGTCATCAGCTTTGCCAAGTGGCTTGGTTCCCTAAAAGGTGGTTTCGCATTGGTTGTAACTAAGCGAACATACAACCATGGAACCAATGATGGTTAATGGCTATGATAAGTATAATTAGATGGGTAATACGGTACTATGCCAACTTATAACAAGTTCTAAGTGGTCACCACCTTCCAGAAAAGAACAACCGCTACTTCAAAGGAGATCGGAAAAATCTACCCTCTGGTTATTTAACATATATAGCCATGGTATAGATGGCCCATTTATAGATTATAGATAGTTTACCTATTAAAAATGGTGATTTTCCATGGCTATGTTAGTCATAACCAGATGGTACAGGATGTGCCGGCATCCCACCGGCCTTGGCGCCGCGCGGCTGAGGAAGTGCCGCTCCAGCGCCTTTTCGGAAGCTCGCCTCGTGGAGGATCAAGCCGAGTGCCTTGGAGCTGGAGAAGCTGGAACTGGACATATGAGAATTAATATATGCACTATATTAGTATATACACATACAATGTATATATATATTATACATATTTAATGTATATATATAATTGTATATGTATTTATAAATGCATACATATTAGATATATGTAACTTGAAAATAAGGATGGTAAGGATAATATCATGTTGTATCACCCAATCTTCACAGTTTGAGAGACTCCAACTTCGATGAAACAAATCGGCTGAAGTTGCGCACATGTTTATTTATATAGTATAGCATCGATATGTGTATACCTATCTATCTATATCTATCTATATCTATCTATATCTATCTATATCTATCTATATCTATCTATAATATATCTATCTATATATCTATCTATATATCTATCTATATATCTATCTATATATCTATCTATATATCTATCTAAATATCTATCTAAATATCTATATATCTAAATATCTATATATCTAAATATCTATATATCTAAATATCTATATATCTATCTATCTCTATCTCTATCTATCTCTATCTATCTCTATCTATCTCTATCTACCTCTATCTATCTCTATCTATCTCTATCTATCTCTATCTATCTCTATCTATCTCTATCTATCTCTATCTATCTCTATCTATCTCTATCTATCTCTATCTATCTCTATCTATCTCTATCATCTCTATCTATCTATCTATCTATCTATCTCTATCTATCTCTATCTATCTCTATCTATCTCTATCTATCTCTATCTATCTCTATCTATCTCTATCTATCTCTATCTATCTCTATCTATCTCTATCTATCTCTATCTATCTCTATCTATCTCTATCTATCTATCTATCTGTCTCTATCTATCTCTATCTATCTCTATCTATCTCTATCTATCTCTATCTATCTCTATCTATCTCTATCTATCTCTATCTATCTCTATCTATCTCTATCTATCTCTATCTATCTCTATCTATCTCTATCTATCTCTATCTATCTCTCTATCTATCCTCTATCTATCTCTATCTATCTCTATCTATCTCTATCTATCTCTATCTATCTCTATCTATCTCTATCTATCTCTATCTATCTGTATCTATCTCTATCTATCTCTATCTATCTCTATCTATCTCTATCTATCTCTATCTATCTCTATCTATCTCTATCTATCTCTAGCTATCTCTACTAATCCTCTATCTATCTCTATCTATCTCTATCTCATCTCTATCTATATCTATATCTATCTATATCTATCTATATCTATCTATCTATCTAGCTATATCGGATCTATCCTATCTATATTATATCTTCTATATCTAATCTATATCTAACTATATCTATCTCATATCTATCTATATCTAATCTATTCTATCATATCTATCTCATATCTCATCTATATCTATCTTCTCTATCTATTCTCTATCTATCTCTATCTATCTCTATCTATCTCTATCGTCTCTATCATCTCTATCTATCTCTATCTATCTCTTATCTATATCTATCTATATCTATCTATATCTATCTATATCTATCTATCTATATCTATCTATATCTATCTATATCTATCTATATTATATCTATCTATATCTATCTATATCTATCTATATCTATCTATATCTATCTATATCTATCTATATCTATCTATATCTATCTATATTATATCTATCTATATCTATCTATATCTATCTATATCTATCTATATCTATCTATATCTATCTATATCTCTCTATATCTATCTATATCTATCTATATCTATCTATATCTCTCTATATCTCTCTATATCTATCTATATCTATCTATATCTATCTATATCTATCTATATCTATCTATATCTATCTATATCTATCTATATCTATCTATATCTATCTATATCTATCTAGATCTATCTATATCTATCTATATCTATCTATATCTATCTATATCTATCTATATCTATCTATATCTATCTATTCTAATCTATATCTCATCTATAATCTATCTATTCTTATATTCTATAATCTATATAATTACTGTTGTGTGTCTCTGTCTCTACATCACTGTAGTTGCAGCCAGGGGTGCCAACGATTTCCGATTCATTTGCAGTCACTAGAGTTCATTCCTCAAGTGTTTTTGTTTCCAACAATTCCTCTTATGTCATAGCCATGGTTGGCAGGGTTTGCATGCTATTGAGCGTTTGCTGTGCTGGGCCCACTGTTGTCACGTTTCAAAATGCAGCTCTGCTCTGGCTGTATGAATCAGAATGGTTCAAAGCAGCAGGGTTGTAGAAGACGGCGTACCTATTGTTCTCAAAGCAGGTTCAAGAATAGATAGCAACAGGAGACAAGCCATGTAAACTCATGCTACAATACATATCATATAGGTATAGCAAAACCTCCAGCCAGACAGTTTCAGTAGATCCTTTACTCATGTCAGTCGCCGCCGAAGCCGCGGCCTGCTTGGCAGAGAAGAAGGTGACAGAACTCCGAGCAGCCCTTCTGCTGAACCAAAGGCACATACGAAATTGCCAGCAGCAATCTCGCAGAGAAGCTGCCTCGCTGCTCAAAGGCGGCCTTTCTTGCCACTCTGAGCGAAAAGTTTTGGCCGTCTATGCTTTGTCAAACTGGGATTTGAGTTTGGCTCTGCGAGCGGCACAGCGGCTGTCCCGATTACCCCAATGTTCTGCAGCATTTCCAACATCAGATTTTGTCAGAGCTCTCTTTCGTAACCACAATTGGGAGGACTTTTTGATGTTACATGATGAAGGCTCAGCACTTTGGGGACCTGCCCGAAAGTTTGCACGGCAGTTCCTCCTGGAACACGATGCTTGGTGTTGGGTGAAGCGTCAAAACCTTTCTCAAGGCGTGGCACCATCAGCGGCAGATGTGTTTCATTACTATGAGAACAAGGCGCTTCAGGTGGAACCTTGTGGACAGCCTCGCCGCAGGACTGTTAACAAATGGGCTGCTCGTTGGCGGGCTCGGTGGGGTGTTCGCAGGGCATGCCTGCGGTCAGCTGACACAGTGGATCCCAGCATTTTGCGGGACAAGGCAAGAATGGGCAAAAAAGCCGGGTCGCTTTTTTGCAACCCTTTTTTGGTTGAAAATGCAAGCATCCCTGGTTTCTGGGGCCGCTTTTTGGGACACAAATGGGTCGCTTTTCTAGGGCCCCAAAACATTGTACTTGAGCCATGTTTTAAAGTCTTGTTTGCCACTTTTTTGAGACCCGAATCTTCGTTTTGTTGCCAGGTGAAGGCGTTCTGGAGATCCATTGCCTATGTGACCGAGAAATTTGGCCACCAGGAACTGGTTTGGATCAACTTCGATGAAACTTCTGTTCCTTGCTGTCCACCATGTCCGAAAGGTTGCGTGGTGAATGACTGGAAGTCTTACCCCGTGCCAGGGGGTCCACAAATGCCGGTCCCCAAAAGTCGGCGGAGGATCGCCTACACATACGGGGCCTTGCTTTGCAGTCATCCGGGCATTCAAGCGGTGCTGCCGCACTTCCTGGTTTGCAGCGAGAAGAGGCTTCCCCAGACTGTCGCCAAAGGTTTTGCAGCGCTGCCACCGACGAGGTTGCGGCTTCTTCGCAGAAAATCTTCTTGGGTGACAACAGATTGCATGATCCGAATTTTGGCAGATGTGAGAGAGGCGCTCCAGCCTTGGCTTCCAATGGTTAAACCAATACTCGTTTTGGACACAGCATCTCCTCATCTACCTAAAAGGTTGATGTCTTTTGCCAAAAGGAAAGGTTTTCAGCTTCTTTTTGTGCCAGCTTCCAGCACTGGCCTGCTACAGCCGCTAGACACCAGTGCTTTCAGTGCATTCAAGCATTGGATAAAAAGAAAAAACCAGCAGCTGCGGCGCACCGCCCAAGGCGGTGAACCGCACTGTGGCAACTGGGTCAAGCTCCTCGAGAATTTTTCGCCAGCAGACAATGGGCCCACGCTTTCGAAAGCGTTGGGTGCGGGCGAGATGTGACAAAGTTGCATTCCGCCTTGCGAAATTTCATGCAGAATCCAGTGTCCTTACCGCTTCCTGCCAAACCCACTCCGGCAGAGATGGCTCTCATTTGGCCTAAAAGGCGAAAGATGAGCTATGCGGATGCATGTTTGTTCTGATAACACCAAAGGTGTCGAAGTCCAGATCTGCTGTTGCAAAAAGGCAGATGCAACCGGAGAGCAGCAAGTGTGACACTGTGTGTGTGTGTCTCTGTCTCTACATCACTGTAGTTGCAGCCAGGGGTGCCACCGATTTCAGATTCATTTGCAGTCACTACAGTTCATGCCTCAAGTGTTTTTGTTTCCAGCAATTCCTCTTATGTCATAGCCATGGTTGGCAGGGTTGGCATGCTATTGAGCGTTTGGTGTGCTGGGCCCACTGTTGTCACGTTTCAAAATGCAGCTCTGCTCTGGCTGTATGAATCAGAATGGTTCAAAGCAGCAGGGTTGTAGAAGACGGCGTACCTATTGTTCTCAAAGCAGGTTCAAAAATAGATAGCAACAGGAGACAAGCCATGTTAAACTCATGCTACAATACATATCATATAGGTATAGCAAAACCTTCAGCCAGACAGTTTCAGTAGATCCTTTACTCATGTCAGTAGCCGCCGAAGCCGTGGCCTGCTTGGCAGAGAAGAAGGTGACAGAACTCCGAGCAGCCCTTCTGCTGAACCAAAGGCACATACGAAATTGCCAGCAGCAATCTCGCAGAGAAGCTGCCTCGCTGCTCAAAGGCGGCCTTTCTTGCCACTCTGAGCGAAAAGTTTTGGCCGTCTATGCTTTGTCAAACTGGGATTTGAGTTTGGCTCTGCGAGCGGCACAGCGGCTGTCCCGATTGCCCCAATGTTCTGCAGCATTTCCAACATCAGATTTTGTCAGGGCTCTCTTTCGCAACCACAATTGGGAGGACTTTTTGATGTTACATGATGAAGGCTCAGCACTTTGGGGACCTGCCCGAAAGTTTGCACAGCAGTTCCTCCTGGAACACGATGCTTGGTGTTGGGTGAAGCGTCAAAACCTTTCTCAAGGCGTGGCACCATCAGCGGCAGATGTGTTTCATTACTATGAGAACAAGGCGCTTCAGGTGGAACCTTGTGGACAGCCTCGCCGCAGGACTGTTAACAAATGGGCTGCTCGTTGGCGGGCTCGGTGGGGTGTTCGCAGGGCATGCCTGCGGTCAGCTGACACAGTGGATCCCAGCATTTTGCGGGACAAGGCAAGAATGGGCACAAAAGCCGGGTCGCTTTTTTTGAACCCTTTTTTGGTTGAAAATGAAAGCATCCCTGGTTTCTGGGGCCGCTTTTTGGGACACAAATGGGTCGCTTTTCTAGGGCCCCAAAACATTGTACTTGAGCCATTTTTTAAAGTCTTGTTTGCCACTTTTTTGAGACCCGAATCTTCGTTTTGCCAGGTGAAGGCGTTCTGGAGATCCATTGCCTATGTGACCGAGAAATTTGGCCACCAGGAACTGGTTTGGATCAACTTTGATGAAACTTCTGTTCCTTGCTGTCCACCATGTCCGAAAGGTTGCGTGGTGAATGACTGGAAGTCTTACCCCGTGCCAGGGGGTCCACAAATGCCGGTCCCCAAAAGTCGGCGGAGGATCGCCTACACATACGGGGCCTTGCTTTGCAGTCATCCGGGCATTCAAGCGGTGCTGCCGCACTTCCTGGTTTGCAGCGAGAAGAGGCTTCCCCAGACTGTCGCCAAAGGTTTTGCAGCGCTGCCACCGACGAGGTTGCGGCTTCTTCGCAGAAAATCTTCTTGGGTGACAACAGATTGCATGATCCGAATTTTGGCAGATGTGAGAGAGGCGCTCCAGCCTTGGCTTCCAATGGTTAAACCAATACTCGTTTTGGACACAGCATCTCCTCATCTACCTAAAAGGTTGATGTCTTTTGCCAAAAGGAAAGGTTTTCAGCTTCTTTTTGTGCCAGCTTCCAGCACTGGCCTGCTACAGCCGCTAGACACCAGTGCTTTCAGTGCATTCAAGCATTGGATAAAAAGAAAAAACCAGCAGCTGCGGCGCACCGCCCAAGGCGGTGAACCGCAGCAGCTTGAGTTTCTGTGGCAACTGGGTCAAGCTCCTCGAGAATTTTTCGCCAGCAGACAATGGGCCCACGCTTTCGAAAGCGTTGGGTGCGGGCGAGATGTGACAAAGTTGCATTCCGCCTTGCGAAATTTCATGCAGAATCCAGTGTCCTTACCGCTTCCTGCCAAACCCACTCCGGCAGAGATGGCTCTCATTTGGCCTAAAAGGCGAAAGATGAGCTATGCGGATGCATGTTTGTTCTGATAACACCAAAGGTGTTGAAGTCCAGATCTGCTGTTGCAAAAAGGCAGATGCAACCGGAGAGCAGCAGGTGTGACACTGTGTGTGTGTCTCTGTCTCTACATCACTGTAGTTGCAGCCAGGGGTGCCACCGATTTCCGATTCATTTGCAGTCACTAGAGTTCATTCCTCAAGTGTTTTTGTTTCCAACAATTCCTCTTATGTCATAGCCATGGTTGGCAGGGTTGGCATGCTATTGAGCGTTTGGTGTGCTGGGCCCACTGTTGTCATGTTTCAAAATGCAGCTCTGCTCTGGCTGTATGAATCAGAATGGTTCAAAGCAGCAGGGTTGTAGAAGACGGCGTACCTATTGTTCTCAAAGCAGGTTCAAAAATAGATAGCAACAGGAGACAAGCCATGTAAACTCATGCTACAATACATATCATATAGGTATAGCAAAACCTTCAGCCAGACAGTTTCAGTAGATCCTTTACTCATGTCAGTAGCCGCCGAAGCCGTGGCCTGCTTGGCAGAGAAGAAGGTGACAGAACTCCGAGCAGCCCTTCTGCTGAACCAAAGGCACATACGAAATTGCCAGCAGCAATCTCGCAGAGAAGCTGCCTCGCTGCTCAAAGGCGGCCTTTCTTGCCACTCTGAGCGAAAAGTTTTGGCCGTCTATGCTTTGTCAAACTGGGATTTGAGTTTGGCTCTGCGAGCGGCACAGCGGCTGTCCCGATTGCCCCAATGTTCTGCAGCATTTCCAACATCAGATTTTGTCAGGGCTCTCTTTCGTAACCACAAGTGGGAGGACTTTTTGATGTTACATGATGAAGGCTCAGCACTTTGGGGACCTGCCCGAAAGTTTGCACGGCAGTTCCTCCTGGAACACGATGCTTGGTGTTGGGTGAAGCGTCAAAACCTTTCTCAAGGCGTGGCACCATCAGCGGCAGATGTGTTTCATTACTATGAGAACAAGGCGCTTCAGGTGGAACCTTGTGGACAGCCTCGCCGCAGGACTGTTAACAAATGGGCTGCTCGTTGGCGGGCTCGGTGGGGTGTTCGCAGGGCATGCCTGCGGTCAGCTGACACAGTGGATCCCAGCATTTTGCGGGACAAGGCAAGAATGGGCAAAAAAGCCGGGTCGCTTTTTTGGAACCCTTTTTTGGTTGAAAATGAAAGCATCCCTGGTTTCTGGGGCCGCTTTTTGGGACACACATGGGTCGCTTTTCTAGGGCCCCAAAACATTGTACTTGAGCCATTTTTTAAAGTCTTGTTTGCCACTTTTTTGAGACCCGAATCTTCGTTTTGCCAGGTGAAGGCGTTCTGGAGATCCATTGCCTATGTGACCGAGAAATTTGGCCACCAGGAACTGGTTTGGATCAACTTCGATGAAACTTCTGTTCCTTGCTGTCCACCATGTCCGAAAGGTTGCGTGGTGAATGACTGGAAGTCTTACCCCGTGCCAGGGGGTCCACAAATGCCGGTCCCCAAAAGTCGGCGGAGGATCGCCTACACATACGGGGCCTTGCTTTGCAGTCATCCGGGCATTCAAGCGGTGCTGCCGCACTTCCTGGTTTGCAGCGAGAAGAGGCTTCCCCAGACTGTCGCCAAAGGTTTTGCAGCGCTGCCACCGACGAGGTTGCGGCTTCTTCGCAGAAAATCTTCTTGGGTGACAACAGATTGCATGATCCGAATTTTGGCAGATGTGAGAGAGGCGCTCCAGCCTTGGCTTCCAATGGTTAAACCAATACTCGTTTTGGACACAGCATCTCCTCATCTACCTAAAAGGTTGATGTCTTTTGCCAAAAGCAAAGGTTTTCAGCTTCTTTTTGTGCCAGCTTCCAGCACTGGCCTGCTACAGCCGCTAGACACCAGTGCTTTCAGTGCATTCAAGCATTGGATAAAAAGAAAAAACCAGCAGCTGCGGCGCACCGCCCAAGGCGGTGAACCGCAGCAGCTTGAGTTTCTGTGGCAACTGAGTCAAGCTCCTCGAGAATTTTTCGCCAGCAGACAATGGGCCCACGCTTTCGAAAGCGTTGGGTGCGGGCGAGATGTGACAAAGTTGCATTCCGCCTTGCGAAATTTCATGCAGAATCCAGTGTCCTTACCGCTTCCTGCCAAACCCACTCCGGCAGAGATGGCTCTCATTTGGCCTAAAAGGCGAAAGATGAGCTATGCGGATGCATGTTTGTTCTGATAACACCAAAGGTGTTGAAGTCCAGATCTGCTGTTGCAAAAAGGCAGATGCAACCGGAGAGCAGCAAGTGTGACACTGTGAGGGCCCATGGCCTTGAAGCTTCCAAGGTTTCATTTTAGGGGGCTGGAAATGTAGGCCCTGTATCAGTGATGGTTCCAAGCCGTGCTTGTCATAGTATAAACACTACAGGTTCACATAATATATATTTATAAACTGTTTCTTGATACTTTTACCAGAAAACTACCCAAACATCTTCACATGCAACGCAGATGGTACAGGAAATGCATCAGGGCAGCTGGGATGACCAATGGGTTCTGCAGCCTTTTTGCTACAAAAGCCTCAAGCGTTTGGAACCCACCGTGGTTCAGCTACTTCTCTTTTTACCATGTCGGATGATGCAGCTGCCACTCCGCCAGCTGCCGCAGTGCCAGCTGGAGCTGCACCACTCACTCGTGGACAAGACCAGTTGCCAGCCCTACGCACAGCAAGGGCCGTGCTGAAGCAGCAGCTGAAAGAATCGACCAAAGAGATTCGCAAGGAGGCAGGTGCCACTCAAATTCTCATTCTTGTGTGAGACATGAGCCCTGAGCTTGCCAGGGTTGATGCATGTCAACAAACGTTGGCCATGTGACTGCATGCGCGCCTGTCAATATCTTTCTTGCCAGGTTCGCCGCAGATCTCGTCTCATGAAAAAAGCCCAAGGCTTAACGACGGGTGACCTGGCTTGGCTCATTGCTCGCCGTGCAGCTGAGTGAGGTTACAGCATTCATGCTTCCGAAAAGGATGCGGTTGTGCTGCAGCAGAAATCGTCCTCATTTTCTTCAAAAGCAGAAGGTGAGCTATGCGGATGCATACGCCGAAGGCGTCGAAGTCAAGATCCTTGCTCCTGTTTGAAAAAAGCCGCTTACTGGGTCATCAAAGTGACTGTTTGGAAAGCCAAGGGCGACATGTCAGGGAGTGTTACGTTCGAAAATGTTGCAAGGAGAGACAAATGTGAATTCAATCAAGGCATCAGGTTCAAAGGTTCAAAGGTTCCCATGTTGAATCCTTCGCCAATCCCAATTTCATGTGCCGAAATCACTTTGGGTGTTTTATCTTTTGCGGCCTCTGGCAAAGTCAGAATTCTCATGGCCATGCGGTTTGAGCTGATCAAACGTTCCGCCATTGCCATTTTACCCTTGGTGTGGAGAACAGATTTTGGAGCCAAATCCTATAGACACGGAGCAAAATAAAGTTAAAACTTAAAACATTTCAAAATACTGTTAGGAGCTTGTTGAGCAAATCCCATAGGCACGGAGCCAAATAAGGTTAAGACATCTCAAAATACTGTTAGGAGCTTGTTGGGGAAATCCTATAGGCACGGAGCAAAATAAGGTTAAGAAAGTCCACAAAATAAGAAAATGAATAGAATCATCTAATTCTTTTGATTGTGAATTTCCAAGTTCTTAACCTTATTTGCTCCAATTCCATTAGGATTGCACTCCGGAAGTCTTCCCTGTATTTTTCGAATCCTTAACCTTATTTGCTTCACTTACGTTGGGATTGCACTCTGGAAGTCTTACCCTTATTTCGCTACCCCTTACCCTGATTGCTCCAATTTACATTAGGATTGCACCACGCAAATTGACACTCACCTCCCGGAGCCTCATCCTTATATCATCTCAGCACACAATTTTCAGCATATTGCCGGATGTGGCGGCAGCTCGGCTGCTGGCGGCTGTGGCGGCTGTGGCGCCTGCTGCTGGCTATGGCGGCTGCTCGTGGATGCAGCGGCTGTGGCGGCTGCTGCTGGCTGTGGCGGTTGCTCGTGGATGCGGCGGCTGTGGTGGATGCGGCAGCTTGGTGGATGTGGGTTGCTATGGCAGAGGCCATCGGCTTCAGCACCATCACCTTGAGGGAGGGTTCACATCATATTGGCACTTGTTGGCTAGATTTTCTTCCTAAGTTTGCAAGTAGATGAGATTTGGCATTGGGTTTTGCGGCTGGCCGTGGCTAGGGCGCCTGCGTTTCTTTCGTTTGTGTCTTGTCCTCCTCGTGGTCTTTGCCCCTGTCTTCTTGTATCTGTCCCCTGTTTCTCCCCTCGTTTCTTTTCCTGCCATTGTCGCCCTGTGCAGGTGCCTACAGCGACCTCGAGCTCTACACGCAGCGGCCCCTTGGCTTGCTTGTGGTTGCTGCTTGCTGAGGGGAAGCTTTGCCAACATTTGCGTCAGGCCCTCATGCTGGGCATGCAGAAGAAGGGAGATGCAGTATGCTTCACAGGTTCCGGAAACGAGGGCAAAAGCTTCATTTTGAAGCCATTGCGTGAAATTTTCGAGCGCGTGCCTTGGCTACCGCTTTCACATCACATGGTTTCTGACCCTCACCCGTTTCCCAATGATCATATTTTTTAAAAAGATCCACTTGCGGACAAGTTTCTGCCCCCCCGGGGGGGCTCAAGTACTATGCACATATTTGTTTATGCCCGAGACGAGTCCAGTAACTGGGAATTGATTCTTGTAACGGGATTTTCACGCCTTGGTACCATCGAGATCTATCAACCTGTAACCATGGGGACCAACAATACCCAACTCTCGCCATGCATTCTTAACATGGTAGACATTATTTCCTTGTTCTTGGCCTCCCCCTTTTTGGACGGCCAGACGTTGATGTGCCCTCCTCAGAGCAGCCGAGGTGTTCGCCTGTCCCGCTCGAGGGTCGTATCCTCTCTTAGATTTGCCGCAGTCCCAAGTGGTCATTTTAGATGATTGGAGACCTGACCATGGAGCCTTGGATGTCAGCAGTACCTTATTATGGTTGGAAAGTGCGATGCTACGCATCAATCGGCCATTGAACTTGTACAGTGGCCATTTGGATTTTCGACCGACACAACCCACTTTTCTCACATGTAACTGGCAATCGTTGTTTGTGCCGAAAGGGTGCTGGTCCGAGAGTGAGTTGCTGATGCTCCGGTCCAGACTGACCATTTACCGTTTCCAGCATAGAATCGAAAATTTGAAGGACATCCCGGCATGTCCATGTTGCTTCACCATGTTCATACTCTCTGGAGGGAAAAATGTAGCAAAATTTCTTGCTGCAGGATTCCCGAGTGTCTAGCTGTGTGCTGACTGCACCTAATTAAATGTTAAAGGAGCCACTGTCACTGGTCCATCCGTTTTGCATGTTTCTCCCGACAACATAGAAAGTACCCAGCCCCATATAAAAACCCCTCGCCCCGAAATCAAAGTTGATTGTTTCATTGGACCTGGATCCGCGGCAGTGACGCTGTACTATATTTGGATGCCAGCAAGTCTCCAGTTTGCGAAAAACAACATTGATTTAGAGGGGCATGGGGGAGGATGATGGTATGACTTCTTTCCCTCTGCCTCTGATTGCATTTCATTGCCTTTGTTTCTGCCGGTGCTTTCTGCATATATCTCTCCGCCTTGTTGCTTCCATTTCTGCAGCTCAGGTTTGTGGCCCACCGCAGACACTCGTGGGGGACAGAAAAAGGGCCTGATTCGGCAGCATGAGCCAGTGTTGTACTTGTGGCCCCTCCTTGTGTGTGTGTGTGTCTCTGTCTCTACATCACTGTAGTTGCAGCCAGGGGTGCCACCGATTTCAGATTCATTTGCAGTCACTACAGTTCATGCCTCAAGTGTTTTTGTTTCCAGCAATTCCTCTTATGTCATAGCCATGGTTGGCAGGGTTGGCATGCTATTGAGCGTTTGGTGTGCTGGGCCCACTGTTGTCATGTTTCAAAATGCAGCTCTGCTCTGGCTGTATGAATCAGAATGGTTCAAAGCAGCAGGGTTGTAGAAGACGGCGTACCTATTGTTCTCAAAGCAGGTTCAAAAATAGATAGCAACAGGAGACAAGCCATGTAAACTCATGCTACAAGACATATCATATAGGTATAGCAGAAGCTCCATCAGCCAGACAGTTTCAGTAGATCCTTTACTCATGTCAGTGGCCGCCGAAGCCGTGGCCTGCTTGGCAGAGAAGAAGGTGACAGAACTCCGAGCAGCCCTTCTGCTGAACCAAAAGCACATACGAAATTGCCAGCAGCAATCTCGCAGAGAAGCTGCCTCGCTGCTCAAAGGCGGCCTTTCTTGCCACTCTGAGCGAAAAGTTTTGGCCGTCTATGCTTTGTCAAACTGGGATTTGAGTTTGGCTCTGCGAGCGGCACAGCGGCTGTCCCGATTGCCCCACTGTTCTGCAGCATTTCCAACATCAGATTTTGTCAGGGCTCTCTTTCGTAACCACAGTTGGGAGGACTTCTTGATGTTACATGATGAAGGCTCCGCACTTTGGGGACCTGCCCGAAAGTTTGCACGGCAGTTCCTCCTGGAACACGATGCTTGGTGTTGGGTGAAGCGTCAAAACCTTTCTCAAGGCGTGGCACCATCAGCGGCAGATGTGTTTCATTACTATGAGAACAAGGCGCTTCAGGTGGAACCTTGTGGACAGCCTCGCCGCAGGACTGTTAACAAATGGGCTGCTCGTTGGCGGGCTCGGTGGGGTGTTCGCAGGGCATGCCTGCGGTCAGCTGACACAGTGGATCCCAGCATTTTGCGGGACAAGGCAAGAATGGGCAAAAAAGCCGGGTCGCTTTTTTGCAACCCTTTTTTGGTTGAAAATGCAAGCATCCCTGGTTTCTGGGGCCGCTTTTTGGGACACAAATGGGTCGCTTTTCTAGGGCCCCAAAACATTGTACTTGAGCCATGTTTTAAAGTCTTGTTTGCCACTTTTTTGAGACCCGAATCTTCGTTTTGTTGCCAGGTGAAGGCGTTCTGGAGATCCATTGCCTATGTGGCCGAGAAATTTGGCCACCAGGAACTGGTTTGGATCAACTTCGATGAAACTTCTGTTCCTTGCTGTCCACCATGTCCGAAAGGTTGCGTGGTGAATGACTGGAAGTCTTACCCCGTGCCAGGGGGTCCACAAATGCCGGTCCCCAAAAGTCGGCGGAGGATCGCCTACACATACGGGGCCTTGCTTTGCAGTCATCCGGGCATTCAAGCGGTGCTGCCGCACTTCCTGGTTTGCAGCGAGAAGAGGCTTCCCCAGACTGTCGCCAAAGGTTTTGCAGCGCTGCCACCGACGAGGTTGCGGCTTCTTCGCAGAAAATCTTCTTGGGTGACAACAGATTGCATGATCCGAATTTTGGCAGATGTGAGAGAGGCGCTCCAGCCTTGGCTTCCAATGGTTAAACCAATACTCGTTTTGGACACAGCATCTCCTCATCTACCTAAAAGGTTGATGTCTTTTGCCAAAAGGAAAGGTTTTCAGCTTCTTTTTGTGCCAGCTTCCAGCACTGGCCTGCTACAGCCGCTAGACACCAGTGCTTTCAGTGCATTCAAGCATTGGATAAAAAGAAAAAACCAGCAGCTGCGGCGCACCGCCCAAGGCGGTGAACCGCAGCAGCTTGAGTTTCTGTGGCAACTGGGTCAAGCTCCTCGAGAATTTTTCGCCAGCAGACAATGGGCCCACGCTTTCGAAAGCGTTGGGTGCGGGCGAGATGTGACAAAGTTGCATTCCGCCTTGCGAAATTTCATGCAGAATCCAGTGTCCTTACCGCTTCCTGCCAAACCCACTCCGGCAGAGATGGCTCTCATTTGGCCTAAAAGGCGAAAGATGAGCTATGCGGATGCATGTTTGTTCTGATAACACCAAAGGTGTTGAAGTCCAGATCTGCTGTTGCAAAAAGGCAGATGCAACCGGAGAGCAGCAAGTGTGACACTGTGAGGGCCCATGGCCTTGAAGCTTCCAAGGTTTCATTTTAGGGGGCTGGAAATGTAGGCCCTGTATCAGTGATGGTTCCAAGCCGAGCTTGTCATAATATAAACATTACAGGTTCACATAATATATATTTATAAACTGTTTCTTGATACTTTTACCAGAAAACTACCCAAACATCTTCACATGCAACGCAGATGGTACAGGAAATGCATCAGGGCAGCTAGGATGACCAATGGGTTCTGCAGCCTTTTTGCCACAACAGCCTCAAGCGTTTGGAACCCACCGTGGTTCAGCTACTTCTCTTTTTACCATGTCGGATGATGCAGCTGCCACTCCGCCAGCTGCCGCAGTGCCAGCTGGAGCTGCACCACTCACTCGTGGACAAGACCAGTTGCCAGCCCTACGCACAGCAAGGGCCGTGCTGAAGCAGCAGCTGAAAGAATCGACCAAAGAGATTCGCAAGGAGGCAGGTGCCACTCAAATTCTCATTCTTGTGTGAGACATGAGCCCTGAGCTTGCCAGGGTTGATGCATGTCAACAAACGTTGGCCATGTGACTGCATGCGCGCCTGTCAATATCTTTCTTGTCAGGTTCGCCGCAGATCTCGTCTCATGAAAAAAGCCCAAGGCTTAACGACGGGTGACCTGGCTTGGCTCATTGCTCGCCGTGCAGCTGAGTGAGGTTACAGCATTCATGCTTCCGAAAAGGATGCGGTTGTGCTGCAGCAGAAATCGTCCTCATTTTCTTCAAAAGCAGAAGGTGAGCTATGCGGATGCATACGCCGAAGGCGTCGAAGTCAAGATCCTTGCTCCTGTTTGAAAAAAGCCGCTTACTGGGTCATCAAAGTGACTGTTTGGAAAGCCAAGGGCGACATGTCAGGGAGTGTTACGTTCGAAAATGTTGCAAGGAGAGACAAATGTGAATTCAATCAAGGCATCAGGTTCAAAGGTTCAAAGGTTCCCATGTTGAATCCTTCGCCAATCCCAATTTCATGTGCCGAAATCACTTTGGGTGTTTTATCTTTTGCGGCCTCTGGCAAAGTCAGAATTCTCATGGCCATGCGGTTTGAGCTGATCAAACGTTCCGCCATTGCCATTTTACCCTTGGTGTGGAGAACAGATTTTGGAGCCAAATCCTATAAACACGGAGCAAAATAAAGTTAAAACATTTCAAAATACTGTTAGGAGCTTGTTGAGCAAATCCCATAGGCACGGAGCCAAATAAGGTTAAGACATCTCAAAATACTGTTAGGAGCTTGTTGGGGAAATCCTATAGGCACGGAGCAAAATAAGGTTAAGAAAGTCCACAAAATAAGAAAATGAATAGAATCATCTAATTCTTTTGATTGTGAATTTCCAAGTTCTTAACCTTATTTGCTCCAATTCCATTAGGATTGCACTCCGGAAGTCTTCCCTGTATTTTTCGAATCCTTAACCTTATTTGCTTCACTTACATTGGGATTGCACTCTGGAAGTCTTACCCTTATTTCGCTACCCCTTACCCTGATTGCTCCAATTTACATTAGGATTGCACCACGCAAATTGACACTCACCTCCCGGAGCCTCATCCTTATATCATCGCAGCACACAATTTTCAGCATATTGCCGGATGTGGCGGCAGCTCGGCTGCTGGCGGCTGTGGCGGCTGTGGCGGCTGTGGCGCCTGCTGCTGGCTATGGCGGCTGCTCGTGGATGCAGCGGCTGTGGCGGCTGCTGCTGGCTGTGGCGGTTGCTCGTGGATGCGGCGGCTGTGGTGGATGCGGCAGCTTGGTGGATGTGGGTTGCTATGGCAGAGGCCATCGGCTTCAGCACCATCACCTTGAGGGAGGGTTCACATCATATTGGCACTTGTTGGCTAGATTTTCTTCCTAAGTTTGCAAGTAGATGAGATTTGGCATTGGGTTTTGCGGCTGGCCGTGGCTAGGGCGCCTGCGTTTCTTTCGTTTGTGTCTTGTCCTCCTCGTGGTCTTTGCCCCTGTCTTCTTGTATCTGTCCCCTGTTTCTCCCCTCGTTTCTTTTCCTGCCATTGTCGCCCTGTGCAGGTGCCTACAGCGACCTCGAGCTCTACACGCAGCGGCCCCTTGGCTTGCTTGTGGTTGCTGCTTGCTGAGGGGAAGCTTTGCCAACATTTGCGTCAGGCCCTCATGCTGGGCATGCAGAAGAAGGGAGATGCAGTATGCTTCACAGGTTCCGGAAACGAGGGCAAAAGCTTCATTTTGAAGCCATTGCGTGAAATTTTCGAGCGCGTGCCTTGGCTACCGCTTTCACATCACATGGTTTCTGACCCTCACCCGTTTCCCAATGATCATATTTTTTAAAAAGATCCACTTGCGGACAAGTTTCTGCCCCCCCGGGGGGGCTCAAGTACTATGCACATATTTGTTTATGCCCGAGACGAGTCCAGTAACTGGGAATTGATTCTTGTAACGGGATTTTCACGCCTTGGTACCATCGAGATCTATCAACCTGTAACCATGGGAACCAACAATACCCAACTCTCGCCATGCATTCTTAACATGGTAGACATTATTTCCTTGTTCTTGGCCTCCCCCTTTTTGGACGGCCAGACGTTGATGTGCCCTCCTCAGAGCAGCCGAGGTGTTCGCCTGTCCCGCTCGAGGGTCGTATCCTCTCTTAGATTTGCCGCAGTCCCAAGTGGTCATTTTAGATGATTGGAGACCTGACCATGGAGCCTTGGATGTCAGCAGTACCTTATTATGGTTGGAAAGTGCGATGCTACGCATCAATCGGCCATTGAACTTGTACAGTGGCCATTTGGATTTTCGACCGACACAACCCACTTTTCTCACATGTAACTGGCAATCGTTGTTTGTGCCGAAAGGGTGCTGGTCCGAGAGTGAGTTGCTGATGCTCCGGTCCAGACTGACCATTTACCGTTTCCAGCATAGAATCGAAAATTTGAAGGACATCCCGGCGTGTCCATGTTGCTTCACCATGTTCATACTCTCTGGAGGGAAAAATGTAGCAAAATTTCTTGCTGCAGGATTCCCGAGTGTCTAGCTGTGTGCTGACTGCACCTAATTAAATGTTAAAGGAGCCGCTGTCACTGGTCCATCCGTTTTGCATGTTTCTCCCGACAACATAGAAAGTACCCAGCCCCATTAAAAAACCCCTCGCCCCGAAATCAAAGTTGATTGTTTCATTGGACCTGGATCCGCGGCAGTGACGCTGTACTATATTTGGATGCCAGCAAGTCTCCACTTTGCGAAAAACAACATTGATTTAGAGGGGCATGGGGGAGGATGATGGTATGACTTCTTTCCCTCTGCCTCTGATTGCATTTCATTGCCTTTGTTTCTGCCGGTGCTTTCTGCATATATCTCTCCGCCTTGTTGCTTCCATTTCTGCAGCTCAGGTTTGTGGCCCACCGCAGACACTCGTGGGGGACAGAAAAAGGGCCTGATTCGGCAGCATGAGCCAGTGTTGTACTTGTGGCCCCTCCTTGTATATCTAATATATATATATATATCTATATATATATATATATCTATATCTATCTCTATATCTATCTCTATATCTATCTCTATATCTATCTCTATATCTATCTCTATATCTATCTCTATATCTATCTCTATCTATCTATCTATCTCTATCTATCTATCTATCTCTATCTATCTATATCTATCTATCTATATCTATCTATCTATATCTATCTATCTATATCTATCTATCTATATCTATCTATCTATCGAAACATCCATTCTTTACACAACCCCCTTTATCTCACCACGTTTCCTTCGATTGTTCAGCGGTGTACGTGTTGCCAAGCTGCTTCCAGTGGAGATCTTCCCTCCATGGATCAATCCGGGGAGGTACGAGATCTTCCGTCGGCGTTATCCATTTGATGAGGATACCCACAACTACCTGTGACTGGGCGAATTTGGGGTGACATACCGCAGTCCCTACTGTTGAATCTTGGAGCAGGTCCCATCCGAATCATCCGATAAAAAACCGCAGTTCAAAAGTGATTCAAACGTGGTTCCCTCTGATTCACCATTTCCGAATTGATAACGTAAACGTGCTTTCAAACATTTAGCTCCTAAACGCCACAAAACGGCTCCGTTGTCATACCCACAGGGGTCAAGTTTGGTCAAGTTAGACCTGGGCCTACAGACTCACGTCATCTCTAGTAGTTCATTTCTAGCATGTCATCAAACGTGGCAATGGGAAATCCCAACTTTTTATGGGAAACCCTTCTCAAGTTGATGCTCGCCCTTCAGTAATTTAACGTAGCTATGCACAATGGCCTATCTCTAGATGATTTACTTGTTAAACATATTGATTTTCCCGTTTTGTTCTGTTAAATTACCAGAGGGTATGTGGGATTCTCTATTCTATTGACGGCATCGTCCTTGCATCTGGGCATCCCTTAGGCAGACTTCTAACCCTGATGTGCGACGGCCACTTGCCAGCATTGTGTTGATCTTTACTGGTTGGTTGATGATCAAAGGGTGGTGAAACTTCCGAAGCAGTATATATAGTATATATATATATTATATAATGGAACAACAGAGGGTTTTGGAGTGTTGACCTGGTGGTTTCCAATAATTTTCTCCTTTCCAGACATTGCAAATGAGAGGATCCCCTTCGACCACCAAATCCTGCTTGCCGCCCATTCTCACGGGATATCAGACCTCTTCCATGGTGGGATGCCATCGGAACCTTCTGGCCGTCTCCAACTTTTTTCTCTACCATCTTTTTCCTTTCAAAATTGATTGGAAGTGAACAGAAGGTTGACAAGGCCAACCTGGCTTCCATGGCGATCTTTTCCTTCTTAAATTTTTCACAGCCTCCGCCAGGTTTGTGATGCGGAACTTCAAGCCGCCCCGGGAGGGCGAGGCGGACTACTCCGCGTGGCCCGGTTGATGTCCCAAGATTTCCCAACCGTGGGGCCCGGGGGGGATAGGCTGAAAAGGTGGTGATACTTAGTCTCCAACCAGCAACTTTTGGCGCTATTTTGCAGGGCACCCGGTATGCCATTTTGAGCAGAATCAACAGCCAAGAGTGAGTGGTGATGACCAACGAATCTCGGAGATTTAGAGATTTGGGCGATGTCCAATACATTGAGAACCCCAAATCCAGTGTGGTTCGCCACAGAAAACGCTTCATTTTGGAGCACCTTTCGAACCAGACATGTGGCTGAGGCTATTGATCACATATTGCAAACGCTGTCGCAGCAACATGCAGCAGGGTATGCAGGGCATGCAGGGCCTACAGCCCATGCAGCAGATGGGCCCTGGCTGGGGGAAGGGTCCCATGACTCCCATGGCGCCCGGATCGCAGTGTCTTGGTGGAGCGAGGTTGTTGGATGACATGAAAATTGGTTGGTCAAGGTCGTCGGCCCCCGAAATGGCTGGTTTGATACTGAACATGATGGGATTTTTGGGGCTGGTCGACTGGTCCTCAAATTTCGAGCCATACCCATCATACCCCAATCTCCCCAATGGCAGGTGGGAACATGTTGAGCCTCTGGTTGGCAGCTGATGGGGTAAGAAGCGTTGAAGTCAATGATTCTTCAGTAGTGTTGAGAAACCCAATCATAGACCATCCCCAATTTTACGGTGGTATAAACTTTATAAACCATCAACATATTATGGGTGCTTTATGACATTGCTAACATTACTCGTTTGGTTTACGGTTGGGAAGAACGTACTGAAGACACAGGCCGCGCCTAGGAAGCTCCCTCTAACTTGGGATGTATGCGTTGGATCCGGGGCCTACGTATGTCGCCACCTAAGGAACTGGGGTGCTTGGGGCAAAGGCAATTGGGAGTCGCTTGGTAGCCGACATTCTCTGGACCTTTTCACGGAGATGACATGGGTCAAACTCCTCTTGAGAATCAGACGGGCATGGTTTAGCACCAAAATAACTCCCGGTGACAATAGGATACCTGTCATGGCTGGTCAATACGTCCAGGTATTGATCCATAGCCTGAAAAAACTGCAGGGGTCCCATCCCATGGTCTTGGTCTTGTCCCTTTGGATCAACCAAGAACCGCTAGTCCAGGTGCTTCAGTGATGAGACTGACATTTTCAGGACACTTCTTCTTTTTTCTTGGGGGAAAATAGGTTCTTCTCATGGTTATCACAGTGGTTCCTGAATGGCATCAACTATAGTTTGTCCGACTGTGCCCCAAGGACGGGCCAATTCTGGTCGATAGCCTATGTTGATCTGTTTTTTGCAGCATTTCAGGGTTTCAGGCTGTTTGCCGCATCCATATTTGTCGGACAAGATCGATCACCCCGACCTGAGGGGCGGCAAAGGGATGGAGTCCATGAGCCAATGGGACGGAGGTTGGGAAGCCAAGTCGGCTGGTGCCGGATGTTTTGCTTTCGCTGATAGGTAAACATCCAATGGAGACATGGGATGATATTTTGGGTCAGCAAACGTCCTTGAGAGTTTGAAGATTTTGGGTCAGCGCCACTGGTTTGCTGGTGGCTGGTTGGTGGCTATGGATTGATATAATGCCCTAGTTTTAGTGCCTGTATCATAAGAGGGTGGGATTCCAAACCACGCGGCTAAACTACTAGGTAAACATTGGTTGCCAGAATGGCCAGAATCTTTGGGTCCAGGGATGAGCAGATAAAGTGACCAAACCAGACATGATACTGCTAAAAAATTATCAACCCCACAAATTCAATGGTCTGGTTTTAGTAAGTACTCAACATTTCTCAAAATGATGAATAATTGCGTGGGCCAAGAATGGTACCCCATGTTGGTTCGCCAGTTCGCCAACTGATCGCAGATTTCTAAGGCTCTTTTGGTGGAGGATGCGGCGGCTCTCCAAGTTGCGGAGGCTGTGGCTGCGGTGGCTGCGGTGGCTGCGGTGGCTGCGGTGGTTGCGGCTGCGGTGGCTGCGGCTATGGCTGCAGTGGTTGCGGCTGCGGGGGCTGTGGGGGCTGCGGGGGCTGCGGGGGCTGTGGATCCGGCTGTGGCGGCTATGGCTGCGGCGGTGGTGGTGCCTTCAATGGTGCAGGTCAAGGAGGGTTGCTTGGCTGCAAGCACTGGATGGTGGAATCACGGCGTCCGGGTTTTTCCACAAGCATCAGGGTCAAGGTCTGCGCGTGTGAATTTGATTGAGATGATTGAGATGGTTTCCTTAACCCAGTTTTGCAGTTCAGTGTTGGAGGCTGGATTCTATTCACTAGCCCCTGGCCAAAAATCGCGCCAGCACAATGGCGCCTGCTTAGATTTCAGCAAAACACAAACTCTTCACTTGAGAAAAGACACGGTAGTTAGTATTATTATGTTCACATGCTTATTCTTGCGGGATGCGAACTTGAGCAGGCGGTTGGCTGGATTTTGAACCCTGCAACTTATGTTGGTGTTAAAGAAAGGTAAGCTGAAGTAAGGAACCCGAATTTATGCAATTTTTGAATCTAACAGAAAGATAATGTGGTGGTTTTTAATTTTCCAATTTCGACTTTTCCATCATTTTTGTTGGGGTTCCATGGTTTTCAGGGTTCGTTTCAGGATCGACCAGAGCGCGTTGTGGTCCTTCCGCCAGCGCTATCCCATGGACGACATGGCGTTCCAGCCCCTTTGAGTCAGCCATGCACTTTGGGGGGTGATAGTTTTGACCCATCACTGTTGGCTCCCAAAACAGCTTACTACTTGCTATGTAGGGAATCTTCATTCATAATGAAAGCCAATGATAGAGGCCACTCCGTGTGCAACATGGTCATGTGGCTTGAAGGTGGTAGACTCAGCATTTGGCATCTAGCACAATCATCGGAAGTACAGGACAATTCAGGTGGGGCTGTGGGTCACAAGTATTATCCACCTGACATCAACCAAGTTTTCTTATCTTCTAGAATTGGATCATTGGATCAGGGGGAAATCTACGGGAAAGCCTCATCGAGTGGCGCCATGAGCCATGGTTTTCTTGTTGAACTTTCCCTTGAATCAACACATATTTCCTGATGCTTGGGCCCTTGGGATTTCCACCGTGTTGACAGTTGTGATTCAGCTGGGACTGTGAACAAGGTTCCTGTGCAATGCGCCAGCACATGCGCAGCAAATGGTCCTGGAATCCTTTGCGCCAAACCGGCAGGATTCGGATTACTCTGCGCTTGCCACTCGCCATCTTATAATTTATGATATTCTTATTTTCTAAAATCCTTCTTATTATTGCTATTTTGTTCATTGTTTTATTGTAGGTTGTTCCAAGTTATAATGGTTTGTCATAGTTTATGATTGTTCCCTAGCCTTCCGGTTAGCCTGCCGGTCGCCATGGTGATTTGACTGATTTTGGAGGTACCGGTTCCGACAACTGGAACATGAGAGGTTTTATGATGGGTGAAATGATTGAACCATATTGAAACACAACGGAGTGTCAGCCATCAAAAACTAACTAGAGCACGCTTTCAAGAATCTGCTGGTCTGAGAGTTGAGACCTTTCTCCAGCATTCAAGTGCTTTTCCCCCCAAAGTTCTGCTTGGCATTGTATCACTTGAAACCAAAAGTTGTTTGAACGCCAGGGTATTTTTTCCCCCCAGTTTTCCCACTGCCTGACTGTCAAGTGTTGCACCCAGCACTACTGAGGTCATCAACTACACAAAGCGCTGTGGTCAGGGACAACTGGCAGCACCGGCCAAACGGCCACGCACCTTCTGAACGATTGATACTTTGTCCGTGAAAATCGGTGGCATGTGAAACTTGCACCGCGGAGAGACCGCGCGGTCTATGAACGTCAAAAGAAGCCAGCTGTTGATGCATGGGTCCCAGAAGGGATAGAACACGATATCGGTTGCTTGTACTATTAGTACTGATTGGTGGTTTGGAACATTTTTTATTTTTCCATATATTGGGAATGTCATCATCCCAACTGACTTTCATATTTTTCAGAGGGGTAGGTCAACCACCAACCAGAGTATTATTTAAAGATTGCGGATGATTATTGGTGCAACTTCTTCGCCCAATGCGGGTAAAACAATGTCATAAACCACCCATGGCTGGGAATGGTTTATACAAGCTATTTATGGTGATTGGGGGATAGTTCATTGTTGTTTTACCCACATTGCTTGGGATCACTATGAACCCCAACCGACAATGAATGCCACAGCATCCAATCTTTTGACAGAGCCCCCAGATCCTCCAGTTCCTGGCTGGATGGCTGGATGACCAGGAGGTCTATCCGTGTGTTTCTTCGTAAAGTATTCCCAACTTTGTTGGCTCCAGGGATGTCCCTATCCCCGCGAATTTCACTGTTGGAGTTGTCATTGTCATCGATCGTTGAACTACGTAAATGAATTGTAAAGGATTGGATTCATGGTATACCCAACCGGCCCCCGGTACCCAACTGGGTAATTTACCACATGGCCAGTGGGAAAGTGCCCCAGAAGTAGGCATTTCAATAGGCAAATCATCCATAAATGGAGGATGTCCCATGTCTGATGACGCCTTTGGGTGATCCGCATGGGGGGCACCCCTTCAGCTGTCAGGTTGCGGCGCCGCTTGCGACCCATCTCCCTTCAACTGCATCAGATCAGCAGTGGGGGCACCTGATGGGTGGAACTCATACCATTGGGGAGTTGTGAAACCATGACTATCCTCTGGTAAACGAACATTGCTATGGAAAATCACCAATTTTAATAGGTAAATCAACTATTTCTATGACGATTTTTAATAGCAAACCGTTAAATTGCCTGCTAGGGGACCAGTGGGTTAGTCAAGCTGCAGACGCCCAGGCTGGCTGCGGGGTTCCATGCCAGAGGCAGGGGACAGTTGCGAGTTGGCACGTGGCTTGTGGCGAATTTGCCGAAGTCCAGGTGACATATACATAATGTTATACATTCTTGATACATAATATGTTACAATGTGTTACAATTTCTCTCTAGATATGTATAATATATATATATATTGAAACTGGTCGCAGGCCCAAACACCAAGCGGCATTCCAATGCCGTCTCAATCGGGCGCCTTTTTCCTTCGAGGCAAAAGAGTCCCTGCGAGAAAGGAATGTTCGGATGGCGCATGCAAGAGCTCACGTGGATCTACTCAAATCAACACTGGTTATATTTCTCTTTTCAAGAATCACAAAATTTCTCCAGGTTGAAACATTGAAAGCACGTATTCCCAACGGCTTCATCTTTATGCTGATCTTTGCACAAAACTGATCTCTCAGGCAGGAGAAAATGAGATGTAATCTCATGAGAGGAAATCATCTATTGCTTCAGACGGCGCGGCTGGGTGGTTCCAGGAATCTGGTGTCCGGTGCCTTCATCGGAGGCAAACATGTGCTGCATGTAGTTGCATAGGTCTTTCAACTGACCCTGGGCGCACTTGGTGCGGGAACGGCACCACTTCACATAGCTTGCCATGCGGGAATCTTCGGACATCACCAGCTCTTCATAGCTCATGTTCAAGTCTTTGTAGTGGCCAAAACCAATCACTGTGCGACCCCATGTGGGCACATCAGGAACATCATCAGGCAAAGGAGGAAGACAAAGCTTGATCAAGCCAGCTTCATCTGATGCTCCGGGAAAGGGCATGGCCACCTCAGTCGAAGGAGCGGCGTACATCGGAACCATCAAGCTCGGCATCATTGCCTGAGACTTGGCTTTCGGCACAGCTGACTTCTTGGGAGGCCGTTGGCCGGCAATCATCTCCTCTCGGCGCTTGGATCCGTCGGTCATGGCTCCAGGTGCCGAAGACTCATCTTCACTCCATACACTGTGAACCTCACCAGTTTCAGGGTGCATGAAAAGACCAGTAGTGGGATCATACACTGTGAACTCCTCCTCCACCTCCGGCGGAGGGCTGGGCATGGACTTCGCTTTCGCCATCAAACGCTGGAGCTCCAAAGTCTCTTCTTGTGTGAGAGGCATTGCGATCACACTCAAGGAAACTAAACTGAAAGGCAAAACAAGATCACTGAGATCTTTATGGATTTGGGAAAAGGGTTGCTGCCGGCAGCACAAGGTCATACAACTACAAACACCATAAACATGAAAAATCGGCTCAGCTGTTTTGATGAAAATAAGATGACATACGCAGCCTGTGGAGATGGATCGCTGACACTATCAAGATGGGATGGTTCACACTAGCATCACAACATGGACTACAAGTGTGGCGGCACGCAAACGCAACAAAGGCAAGCACTCTGAAGATTTTAACCATACGACACTCACTAGGTTAGGAGTGCCATGCTTCAGATTATGTTAGCCTATGTTAAAGAAACTGAATTAAGGCCATTTAAGCATATTGCTTATTCCATGAGAAGTCAGTTCCCCCCAGACGCCTCGGCCTTGCTTTGGACATTTTGCGCTCGGATCTTGGCACGGCGTTCTCGTTCGGACGCCTGCTGTGCAAGCACGTGATCCTCCGAGGATATTTGATAGGAGGCAGCACGTACACAAGACCTTAAAAGGTCAGCCGGGTCCACCTTGTCTTTGGTCAATCCATCTGCTATCATTCTATTGGTTGGCAACCATCGTACTCGAGCTGCAAGTAACTTGATGGATTCCCGAATGATAACTATGTCGATACTGGTTCTACGATCATCTACTGCAGTGGGTGATGATGGAGAGATCAAATGGTCAAAAAGAGATTTGCAGTCGGTGGCCAAAATGGCTGGACGCCGGGACAGCAGCTGGCGACATTCACTTGATGCAAAACTACCGTCTAGTGCTTCGATTAAAAGTAGATTCAACCACTCGACGGTTCCAGAGGCAGACGCAAGTGCCTGGCTCTCACCACTCAAAGTAGAGCTCACGGCTCGAGGCAGCCGATAAGACTTCCATGACGCAGGTGTCCATGGGGACACGTGACCATCATGCATAGACTTGTCTACAAACGCCAGAACAAAACCTGCCTGAGTATGAGTCCCTACATTGGCAAAAGCGGCATCAGAGTGACAACAGACACATATTCGTTCAGGTGGAATGGGCTTAAAGGTTATAACCAAGTCTTTGTGCATTTTGGCTCTTCTGATGGCATTATTGGCATCACGCAAATGGCGAATCTTTGGCTTTGGAAATGCTTGTTGACTTAGACTAGTCTGCACCGCCAGGTCAGGTCGTGACTGAGAAGCCAGCCAATTCAAGGATCCATTGATCGCGCGGAGAACTCTGATCTGAGCTTCTGACAGGTCATCGTCAGGCAACGCATGACGAGGAATGGCTGCTGGCCGGAGTTTGTCAACAAACAACTTCTGTGACATTGCAATTTCTTTTGTCTCCTTGTTCTGTGTGTAGTACGCACCACAGAATTCTCCCTCGGCCTTTCGCCACTTTCTGTATGGAAACCTGGAGCGCAGCTCAGCTACTGCACGTTCAAACTTTGGACCGCTTCCACCAAGGGCTGTGTCATCAACATGAACCCCCATGATTCCAACCAACTTAGAACCATCTCGAAGAAAATAAAGACAACTGTCAAACTTTGAGCGTTCCCAACCAATACGCAAGGATTCATCGTCAAACGTTCGATGCCAAGCCAAAGGTGCATCGTTCTGACCATAAACATTGCCTGTGACTTCCAAAACGGCGTCACTTGGCACGCCGGGAATTCCTCCAGCAGGCTGCTTGGCAAACAAAGGACGAAACTTATCAGGGAGAGGACCAGCTTCAAGAAAAGCCCCTTTTATATCTCCAAGTTGTAAGACCCATCCAAACGAAGAAATGATCTGCATCACCAACATCCTACACATCTGGCTAAGAGTGGGGGACTGTAGCAGTCCATCTTGAACCTTCTTATCTAGATCGGGATCCAAATGTCCTTGAAGACACCAGCGGCTCTTGACCCTGAAAGTGGAACTGTCCTCATCATTGATTGGTTGGTTTTCTTCCATAGGTTTCTTAGTGATGACAAAACGGCTACCTATAAAGCGATCGGCATATCGCTCACGGATTTGAGCAGCACGCTTTCCATAGTGGATCTTGACAGCTTGTTTGTCTATGATAGTGCTCCATTCCAAAACCTTAGAGTCATCTACCATGGCTTGTACTTCAGGGGGATGATTACATGGACTCATTTCTTTGCTTGACTTCTTCTGCAAGTAGTTGGTCAACAGCACTTCAATTGAAGTCTTAGGATCTTCCCACTGATTGCACAGCTCGGTGATGTCCTCAACAGACAAAACTTCATGAGGAGAGGCTGTTCGTTGTTTCGAGCCTGGTGGCTCATCGATATTCGCAGCGATCTCCAAAGAACGTTTGGATGATCCGGCAGACTGGCTCAACGGATTGGTGGCGTGGTCAATCAGCTGAGGAACAATTTCTTTCATCATGTCTACAAAATCTTGTTCCTTCATAGCTGGTGGTCGATACAGAGCAGGAGGACCATTCTTACCGTGAACCCTACGCATTGGACCATACGTTGAGGAAGACTCAGACTCAGGTGACATCTGTTGATCTGGAGGCTCACTTGACGAGGACACGTTCTGAACTGCTGGCTGAGGCGGATCAACATCATGCACATGTGAGGGAGCATCCATGGGAGATTTATCAATTGGTGGTTCGGCATCAGCACTTTCCTCAACTGACTGACTGGACCCATCAACGGCCTCTGACTGCTGCGGATGACTCTGATCATCAGGGCCAGGTGACATCGGTGGATAATGTCCAGGCACTAAGTCAATGTACTGATGACTTCGGAAAGTGCCTCCTTCCAACATGTCCTTCACTCCCAAAAGTTCAGTTTGTGGGGTCTCGACAATGGCCTTTTCTTCAGTTGTAGCAGGACGCAATTGTTCAGGAGCCACTCTGAAAATCTGCCGACGATGAGCAATGACATAGTTTTTGCCAACACTTCCAATTACAACAGCTGTTCCATGCCAACGACCTCCGATATGAATCTGGCCTTGCTGATATTTCTGTACACGCCAATAGGCAACCAGATCACCAGCTACGAATTGCTGCTGTAAGCGGGGTCTTGCGGAAAAGGCTAGACGCAAAGCTCTGTCATCTTGAGTCTCGATGACCGCTTTTCTGGCAGCTGCACGAATTGCTTGAGACTTGGCGATGGCCTCTTCAGTGAGACCAAGAGTGGCTGGCACAACATGCAGTGGTTCGCTCATCAGGTCTGTGGGAACATCGGGATTACGACCGAAAACATATTGATGGGGGGTGTAACCATAGGATTGGATCATGGTATTCTTCACATGTGAGTGCAAAACACAATCTTCCCAGGATTCTTTGGTAGCTGGAGAAAACTCTGCTAACGTGCGATCCAAAATCCTACCAAACCATCCCCCGTGACTTTCGGTACGGCCTAGTTGCCAATGCGCTTCCCCGGCTATCTGGTGAACATGGCTGCCAAGAGATTCCAAATATCCCTGGAGACCTTCTCCCAAATTAGTTTGAGCTTGATCAAGAATCACTTCTTTTGGGGGACCAAACACTCTGACCCAATGTTCAGCAACATTACGGCGGATGATCTCTGAGGTCTCACGTTCGAAGAAAGGAATCATGAGTTGGTAACAACTCGCTTGGTCTACAATATTCACTGCCTTTATCTTTTGATTAGGCTTCCACCCAGTGAGATACTTCACATCCACTCCAATGGTTTGATTGAACTCACGAGGCCGGGAAGACTTTGCTGGCAATGGCACATGAGGCTTGACCTGGGTTTGACAAAAGCTGCACTTGTGCTGATGCGCCAGTTTCACGGCACGCTCTGACGCCTGAGCATGTTTCAAGATGCGAACCATGTCATGAACTGGAGGGTGCCCCAAATTTCTATGTACACGATCGATCACTTTCAACAACTCGGCATCAGATTTCTCAGCAGAGAGGTCAGGCTTAGCAGCAAGAACTTCGTCGTGCTGTTTGGATGTCCATTGAGGGCACTCAGCCAGGCATGCACGTTTCATGGCAACAAAACGAGGCACTGTTTCCATGATTGCTTCTACAAACTGAGGAGTATACTTTCCAGCAAAAGTGCTAACACGTCCTACCATGGGATCACTTCCGGCAATGACCTGGTGACAAGCATGTTTCGGGTGACTGGAACCTGGACACTCTTTGGCTAGGCAACTCATGTCATGATGGGATACTAGCAAGTGAGTGGCTTTACGGATCAGATTGGGGCTACCCGGCACACGCAAACCATATCTGCACATGTGACATGTCAGCAACTTGTGCTCTTCAAGCAACTCATTGACCTCGGGATAGGTCCATAGACGGGATCCCTTGGGATGCTCGAGGATTGCTCTTCCACCGAGCTGCATCTGCTGTTTGTACAGCCTACAACAAAAACGGATGAACATGCGACTATGACGAACTCTCTTGGCATACTCTAGGGGATCCATAGTGCACGCATTCAAGTTGAACCATCCGCCCTCATCAGTGCATGGTGGGCAAAGCAGCAGGAGCTCAGGTGGGTGATCATGCAAGTACTGAGCCACCCGTTCACGCATCTCAGGTTTGGTGAAGTCAAATCCAGTGGATAAGTCAAAAGACCTACACGTACCACCTACTCCCTGAACAAGGGGGGCACATCTTGGAGGACAAAACGCTTCTGCGACCAAAAAGGGCTTACCATCGACAATGGACTTGACTTCGGATGCAGCATTTCGCACCTGAGAGTCTAATTGTCTCACGCTGTGAACTGGCAAACTCTCAATTGGGACTGTTTTCTCCTGAGGCACAAAATGGAACTCGGTGGTCACATGCAGCACTTCCTTAGGAATGTCATGATGATACTGGCTTTTGCGACGGTGAGGCGATATCCATTCATCAAACAAGACTTCTTGTGTGGCACTGTCTACAACCCTTCTACGTTTGACGGACTGCCAATTGGGACCATGCTTACCCGTAGTGAGAGTCTTATTAATAAATGAATCATGCCTAGTCCAAACCTCCAAATTGTCGGATGCTCCTTGGGAAAGCTTGGGCACGGATGCCGTGGCTGTGGGCAAATCAGGCGACTGCTCAGTCTCAACAGATTCATTGACAGGCAAGACCTGGACATTCTCAGTCACCTCAGCATCTTCATTCATCATGACCTCGGCAAAAATGGCCTTGGACTCAGTCATCTTGTCAATCACATTGATGATGTACTGTCCAGCAGCATTCGTAGTGAGAGGCACTGTGACACTATCATTGAACAGAGTCAACTCGTTCTTGCCAAAATCAATCACAGCCTGCAAGGTCTGCAGGGCACTTCTGGAAATCAACAGGGGGGCAGCTCCCTTCACCACAGCAGCTTTGATACTGCCAGAGCGACCAGCAATGATCACTGGCAATCGAACCGACCACTCAGTGGTCTCGCGCTGTCCATTTCCAAATTTGAAATGGTTCACCTCAGAGAAAGGTGAGGGAACTGGGAGAGAGTGCTTCTTCCAGAGTGATTCAAATTCCTTCAACGTGTCTCTACCAATAATGGTACGCCCACATCCAGAATCAATGACACCGAAACCCGGTGAGCTCACCAGCATGACTTCATGGGAATCACAGTGATTGGACTCCTTGATCACCTCAGCATTGATGGAAGATGCATGACGTTGTCGTAACATCTCCAAAGTTGACAGCTGAGGGTTGCAGAGGGGGACAACTGCGGCCACAAAGTGCTCCTCAAAGGATTCTACCATGGCCACTCCAGCATATGAGCTCTTTGAGTTGTTGGAACTTCCACCTTTGCCCTTGCCTTTGCTGGGATTGCGACACTCACGGGACCAGTGTCCCACTTGATTGCAACGATGGCATCGAGACTTACGTTTCAGTTCTTCAATCTCCACCTTGTAGGACTTCTTCAACTCACTTGCTGCGCCAAAACGACGCGAGCGCTGGAGCCGACCCAGCTCACGTCTTTTGTCCTTCCAGGACACGGCCAGTGCTTCTGCAATTTCTGACTCTTCGTAGACTTCTTGCGGATCATCATCAGGCTCATTCAAGGCATGGTCAGCCAAAAAGGTCTCCACTTCCTGGATCACGCTATCAGCTTCGTCGTCCTCAGGAACAACTTCAGAGCTGTTCTCTACCAGATTGATTCCAAAAGACTTGCGTTTGGGAACGATGAACTCGGGATAACACGACCGCATTGCTCGGCCAATCTCATCACGCTTGAGACTACCTCCGCTGCGGGCCAAAATGACAGCCCGTTGTTCATCGGACAATCCGGAACGGTTGAGGATCAACCATCCTCTGGCCTCATCTGGAAAATTGACCTTGCACTTTCTCTGACATCTCTCAAAAAGTTCGCCAGCACGAGAAATCCAGACTTTCAGGGTTTCACCCTCAGCAGCTCGAAGACCAAAAACTGATGTGAGAGTCTCAGACATCTCGTCGGACTTGTCCTTCTGGGGAAAACGTTGATCCAAGATGTCCAGAATCACCTTTTCACCACCTGCAACCTGGTACTCAGATGGTTCTAAGTGCTCAATGCAGTCAAGTGCTCGGCCACCTAGAAGAGTATACACATAAGCACCTCGGGCTTTCTCAGGAACCTTTGAATCCAAAGTCAATAACTTGTTCAACACCCAGGTTTTCCCACGCTTGTATTCCAACGCATCTTCACTATCCCCAGTGAATACTTTGCTAACAGTTGTCTCACCAGAGGACTCGGCACCGGCCATAGCTCACGTGGATCTACACGCCTCCTGGAACTCCTATTCCAGGGGAGCCACCGTGTTGGTGGCTCCGCTACCAGTATTGAAACTGGTCGCAGGCCCAAACACCAAGCGGCATTCCAATGCCGTCTCAATCGGGCGCCTTTTTCCTTCGAGGCAAAAGAGTCCCTGCGAGAAAGGAATGTTCGGATGGCGCATGCAAGAGCTCACGTGGATCTACTCAAATCAACATATATATATATATTATCTGCACAGCACATGTATATGTACACATGTTTAGTGACGAACCACACGATTTCTGGGTACACATTTTTTCACCCATAGATGCATCCATACACACCTGTAGATGTCCCCATGTTGGGCAGAGGCACAGATGCCCTTCTTCACTCGGTTTCAGCCCCTCGGGCGAAACTGGTGGTATTGGGCAGGTTGTCTTCGACATACCAATGTGGAGGGTTTCCTAAAATGGGGGTACCCCAAAATGGATGGTTTATACTGGACAATCACATTAAGATGGATGATTTGGGGGGTACCCCCCCCATTTTAGGAAACCCTTATACGACTTGGGTTTCTACCCCTTCCGGGGAGATAGTCACTTCTAGCTATGTGGTGACTGGCCAATCTCACCTTCCGGATAATTGCATAATTGCAGGTTTAGGATTCCGGCACCTGTGATGGGTGATCTGGCCATCTTTCTCAACAAACTCTTGCAAAGAACTCAACTTTTTTTACGTGAAGTGAAGCTTTTCTGGCAGTTTATTGCAGTACGTAGAGCAAGTTTGAGGGATTTCCCTGGCGTCGTTGAGGTCCCTGGAAGCTTTAGAGGTGGAACTGCATGAGCTGACCGAGAGGTTGCAGAAGGTCTCCAGCCACAACGTGCCTGGGATGGTTGAGCCTCAAGATGCCCAATTTTCATGTGAAACCTGGTTGGAAGTTGGGAAGCCTTGGGAAAATCTGATGAACTTTGGAAACTTAGAGGTTGAGGTGAGAGTTAGAGACTCCCTCGATCATTGACAATGTCACCTTATAACTTACTTATAACCAACCATTTGATGAAGTTTTTTCCCGAATGCGTAGCAAGGGTTCCCGTTTCACTCTGGGGGTCTGGGGGTTGAGGGTGTGTTCGCTCGACGTCGCGTTTGTGGTCGCAACCGTTCGCAACCGTTCGTACGAACTCCGTATGGCCGTGCCTATGGGAAGCTCTGCAGAGGTGGTCATTTTTGGAGGTTTCCAATGTGTCGTTGCTTCGCGTGGCAGGCGTGGCACTTCGTGACATTCAGACGTGTTCTGAAACGTGTCGAAAGTCGTTTCGCATGGCAGGCGCAATACTTTTGCGACGTTTTCAGAAGATGTGTTGCAGTTTTCGTGGCAGGCGCAGCACTTTGGACGTGTCCATCGTCATTTTTCGTGGCATGCGCAGCACTTTCGACGTGTCGTGTTGCGTGTTTTTGTACATCGCATTGGCAGGGCTGCGCCAAGTGGCGACACGGTGCAAATTCCGTGGCAAGCGTGGCATTTTGCGCAATGTGCTGAAAATTGACGGAAGCCTCGCACGAAACGTCTCGAGTCTCTGGTTTTCTTGTGGCTTCGCCGTGTCTACGGGGGAAGCCGCAAAACCTCTCCTTTTCGAAGGTTTCCAAGCAGGTTGTCATGTCGTTTTGCGTGGCAGGCGTGGCACTTTGTGACATTCCAACTTGTTTGATAACGTGTCGAAATTGTCAAAATTGGAGGATGTCTCGCACGAAATGCTGGTTTTTCTGCATCCACGCGTCTCGTCTCGAGTCGCTGGTTTTCCTGTGGCATCGCCGTGTCTATGGGGGAAGCTGCAAAACCTCTCTTTTTCGAAGGTTTCCAAGCAGGTTGTCATGTCGTTTTGCGTGGCAGGCGTGACACTTTGTGACATTCCAACCTGTTTGGTAACGTGTCGAAAATGTCAAAATTGGAGGATGTCTCGCACGAAATGCTCGTGTTTCTGCACCCACGTGTCTCGTCTCGAGTCGCTGGTTTTCCTGTGGCGTCGCCGTGTCTATAGGGGAAGCTCTGCACTCCACACTCTACACTTTACACTCCGCACTCCACAATTTACACTTTAGACTCCACACTCCACACTCTACACTTTACACTCCACACTTTACACTTTGCACTTCACACTCCTCACTCGTCACTCGAGACTTTACACTCCACACTCCACACTTTACACTCCTCACTCTACACTTTACACTCCATACTTTACACTCTACACTCTACACTCCACACTTGACATTTTACACTCCAGACTTTACACTTTACACTCCTCACTCCACACTGTACACTCCACACTCCTCACTCTACAC